GCACTTGCAACTGTGCACACGGATCCACACGGCGCTTGGCGTGCTTGCACCCAGTTGTGCAAAGGACTCGCACGTTCCCATGGGTGCAGCTTCAAAGGCCCAAGTCCCGTGGCAGGCCTTTAATCACGCAGAACCATCCGTAGGGAATCTTCCAAACCGTCTCAGACAGTTGGCAAACGGCCTCCCCATCTCCTCCCCAGCCCCCTGTCCCGTGCAGCACCTTGAAACAAATCGAGGCTGAAAAGGCTCCTCTTCTCGGCTTCCACTCCCCTTACTTGCCTCTCCAGGATTCCGAAGCCACCCAAGTGCAGAGGAAGGAACTGGGCATGGCGATGCCATGAGGAAGGCATGCTCTAGTTGCGGGGAGGGGGGCATTGCGAGCCCAGCAGAGCAACCCGCAGTGGAGGCTTTCCACTACATCTCTGTGTGAGTCATTCTCCTGGCGCCTCCCCCTTCTCCATCGGGGAACAGGCAACTCGGTTGCTCATGCAGACCTAGGGCTTTCAGGCGGCCGACTGCATCACGCCGCGAGTCACCATATCAGAAGTGTTCCTTCTGTGTTAAGCCCCGTGCAAGCCGCTTGGGCAAGGGCCGAAGCACTGAAGGGAGGGGGCTTGGGCTGGACTGTAGCTCCATTGGGCAGGGGCTGCTGCAGCTGCCGCCCACCCGCCCAGGACACATGCTTAGGAAGCAAGTGGTGATGCCGCCGGTCGGGGAAGTCCTGAAGCAGGCGCACGACTGGCCTGGCGGAAGAGCAAGCTACCTGCCGTGCTCCTGGTCACTGGGCAGGGCCGTGGCAGCGTGTGGCGGCGGACTGGCCTTGCGCGCAGGCCTCAGGCCTCCATCATCAGCGCGTCCAAGTAGTTCTAGAAAGGCCTTGGAGAACAAATGCCACCTGGCATGAACTGGGCAAGGCAAAGCGGCCCACCTAGGCCTTCCTGGGCATCTGTTATGGTCCCTCCCACTTTGCCTCTCTCTCTCGCCTGCTCTCCTTTTAAGCAAGTCTCTCCTTACCAGCTGGGACCACTTCAAAACCAAGTGTGTGGCTGGACCGTGCCCACGGGCTTTCCATCCCACGGATGGGCCACCTGTGGGCTGCAGGGACGCCCGGAGGAAATCCTTCCGCTGCAGGGCTGCCACCCCGGCCCATCTGCCTGGGGGGCTGTTGGCCCAGAGTGCTGGCCCTGCTGGAGGAGGGACCGGTCCCCGTGCACCTTACAATCCAGTTCATAGAACCCCAGTGATAAAAGGGGATGTTCTGTAAGAATAGAAGAGCAGCGCAGGATCAGGCCGAGGCCCAGCCAGGCCAGCATTCTGCTTGCACAGCGGCTAGCCAGCTGTCCCCGGCATCGTGGTGGTGGGCCTCGGGCGGCCATGGGTTCCTGCTCCCGGGAACGGCGTCGGAGGAGAAACGTTCCAGATCTGAGGAGCGAACGAGTCGGAGGAGGAGAAGGGAGCGGGAGGGCAGCTCCGAGGAAGAGGGCCCAAGATGTCAGAAAAGGAAAGGAAAAAGTGGGGACCGTCACCACGAGAAACACAAGACATGTTCGTTGCGCTCCCAGGACCACTTTCCTGCTTCACATTCTTCTCCAGAAAAAAGAGGCCACAACAGTGCGTGGAGGAGGAAGAAAAGCCGGAAGCAAGCGTTCTGAGTCAAGCCGTCTGTTTCCTTGGAGATGTCGTCCTCGCCCTCCCAGGCACAGAGCTCCAGGGAAGACCTGGATGGACAGCTCAGCCTCCAGGAGCGGCTGAGGCAGAAGGAAGGGACAAACAGCAGCGGGAGTTGATGAAGGCGCTCGAGGCACCTGAAGAGCAACGGGCCCGCCGCCCCGCCAAGAAGGAGGCCAAGGAATGGAAGAAGCGGGAGAAGATGGGGTGGGGGGAAGAGTCTATGGGTTACGCCAGCACTGACAATCCCTTTGGAGACAGCAACCTGCTGGGTGCTTTCATTTAGAGCAAGGCTCTTGAAAAGAAGGGCACTGGCCACCTGGAAGAAAAGGAGTTGAAGGACCGGAATAAGCGGATCCAGGAGGAAAACCGCCTGGAGCCGCAGAAGGTGAAGCAGCTGCACTTGGAGCGGGAGCAGAAGGCCATGAGGGAGCAAGAGCTGGAAATGCTGCAGTGGGGGAAAGAGGCTGAGCATTTCAAGACAGGGGAGGAGCACGAGGACAACTTCCACCTTCAACAAGCCAAGCTGCGCTTCAAAATCCGGATCCGAGATGGACGAGCAAAGCCCATCGACCTGCTAGCAAAGTACATCAGCGCCGAGGAGGACGACCTGGCCGTGGAGATGCACAAGCCGTATGCTTTCCTGAACAGACTCACTGTCTCAGACATGGAGGATTTGCGGGGGGACAGCCAGGTTTACATGGAGCTAGAGCGAGGGGAAAATGTGCATTTCTGGAGAGATACGACCATCATCACCGAAGATGCAATAGCCAAGCTCCGGAAGTTGGAGGCTTCTGGGAAAGGACCGGGTGAGTGCCGAGAGGGGGTGAATGCCTCAGGCAGCTCTGGCGTGCAGTCAGTCTTCAAGGGAAGATGTTCAGCCAGCTGCAGGTCATCTACCAGGGGTCTGAGGGCAAGATCCACGCCGGGGGCCCCAGCCTCGACATCGGCTACTGGGAGACCCTGCTGCAGCAGCTGAAGGCCTACATGACCCGTGCCAGGCTGAGGGAGCAGCACCAGGACGTCCTGTGCCAGAAGCTGTACGAACTGAAGCAGGAGCAAGGCGTGGAGAGTGAGCCCGTTCCCCGTCACCAAGAAGGAGCCACTGTCCCCCGGCGCTGGCAGCAGTCAGAGGCTGGAGCTAGAGGAGAGCACCCCAGTACAGCCGGGTCCCTCTTCCGCCGAGTCCGCGGCTGAGCCAGAGCCTGAGGCCAAAGCCGAGGGAGATGGGGGGGCCGTGCTGATGGAGGAGGACCTCGTCCAGCAAAGCCTGGATGATTACGACGCCGGCCAGTACAGCCCCCAGCTGCTGACCTCCCACGACCTGCCCTTCGACACCCACGTGGTGGAAGCCAGCAAGGACCTCCAGTGCCTGTGGCTCTCCCGGCAGCAGCTGCAGGTCACAGGTGACGCCAGCAAGGGCACCGAGGACATTTTCTTCCACCACGCCAAGGAAGGCATGGGGGCAGACGTTGGTGCAGTTCAGCGTGGGGATGCCCCTGACGGGCGAGGCCTACCTCTGGGCTGACAGGTAGCGCCCTCGCAAGCCGCGCTTCTTCAACCGGGTCCATACGGCTTCGAGTGGAACAAATACAACCAGACCCACGACGACTTTGACAACCCCCCGCCCAAGATCGTGCAGGGCTACAAGTTCAACATCTTCTACCCAGATCTGATCAATAAAGGCTCCACACCCGAGTACTTTTTGGAGGCCTGTCCGGACAACAAGGACTTTGCCACCCTGCGCTTCCACGCTGGCCCACCGTACGAGGACATCGCCTTCAAGATCGTCAACCATGAATGGGAGTATTCCCACCGCCACGGATTCCGCTGCCAGTTTGCCAACGGCATCTTCCAACTCTGGTTCCACTGCAAGCGCTACCGCTACCGGCAGTGATGTGGAGAGGGCAGGATTTGCTAGGCGCCGGCACCGGTGGGGGGGAGCGGATCGGTGCCAGCAGCCTTTGACCAAAACCAAGAGGGCAGCAAGCACAGAGAGGACTACCTTTCTGACACCCAGCAACTGGATTCCTCCGGTTACTTGCAAGTGGGACCCATTTCTTACCATACGAACGCTCGCTCTGTGGTCCCAACCGAACCCCTTGCAGCAGCTTCTCCAGTTCCAAATGCGCGGGGGGGCGGGGGGGACATAGTTCATCTTCCAGACACCAGATGGTGCTGTTTTCCCACCTACTCGTTAGGGCTCTTGAATATCTTTTATAACTGTTTCTTAAGAATCTATTAATCTGGGTGACTTTCTCCTGTGAAAAGCATCCAGTTTGTAATAAAATTTATACTGCTGAAAAAAAAAAAGGCAGCCTGGGGTCAGACTAGATGGCCCGGGAGGTCCCTTCTGACTCGCGCTGTTTCTGTTTCTATATTTCCTGCAAGCGGGACGGGAGAGCTACAGCACTCTGCTACCCATGTTCCCCAGACACTGGTGCATGTAGGCATCTTGCCCCAATCCTGGAAGATAGCATGTAGCCATCAGGTCAAATGGCCCTTGATAGCCACCTCCTCCAGAAAGTCCCCCTTGAAAGCCATCCAACTTGGTGGCCATCCCTACGTCCCTTGGAGGCGAGTTCCATCATTTCACTTTGCATTGTGTAAAGTCCTTCCTTCGATCTGTCCTGAATCCCCCACCCATCAGCTTCTTTGTTAGAAGAAGAAGAATGTCTCCCTTCCACTTTTCCTGCATCAGCATAATTCTGCACACCTCTTTACTTCTTAAAAGATGCTTGATTTCAGCACCGTTTGTGAAAAGCTTGTTTCTGTAGACCGCATCAAAGTTCTCACTCAGGTTGGGGTGGAACGCTGGAACCCAGGTACAAGTGTTTTTGCAAGGGGCAGAAAAATGTGGGTGCTGAGAAAAGTCTTCCCAGAATGCTAGGAGATGCATAAAAGCACGACTGTGCCATTCACTGGCTCGCTGGGGCTCGCGTGGGATCACGCCCCCGGATCGTGCCTCCTAGGCTAGGCCAGCGAGTCTCCAATTCCTCCACTCGTGACATCGTCAAATTCTGGCCTCTAGAGCTACGTGCTGCAGTTTGCCTCATGGACGAGTCACAGAAGAGTTTTCTGGCATAGGAAGCTGCACTGCACGTTGATTCCATGGCCGAGCGTTGCCCACAGTGACTAGGAAGAGCCGCTTGCCAGCAATTCGAGCTTGTCTAAAGGAGACGCCGGGGACTGAACCGGGCACCTTCTGCATTGCAGAGCGAGGCCTCTGCCTCTGCGCCATGGCTGCCCCACTTCCAGAGCAGCTCTCCATCCCGCACCGTGATGCGAACGCACCGGCATCTGGGGTCTGACTGTGCGCTTTTCCTTTCCAGCAATACTTCATCCTGCTGATCATCACTGACGGAGTCATCAGCGACATGGATGAGACGCGCCACGCCGTGGTGCAGGCGTCCAAGCTGCCCATGTCCATCATCATCGTTGGGGTTGGGAACGCAGACTTCGCGGCCATGGAGTTCCTGGACGCCGACACCCGCATGCTCCGATCCTACACGGGAGAGGAGGCCGTGCGCGACATCGTCCAGTTCGTGCCGTTCCGCGAATTCCGCAGCGTGAGTGCAGCAGGGGGCCAGGGCGGAAGCAGAGCCCGGGCAGGGCAACACGGCCGCTGCAGTGCGCAACTCCAGGGCGCATGTGCCTTCCAGAAGGCTCCTTCTCAGCCTCAGGAGCAATGGTCACAATACTCCCAGGGGTGCCTTGTTTGAAGCACCCCCCCCCCCCCCAAAAGCAGTTGGCTGGCAGCCATCCATCCAAGACACGCATCTGTTCTATGCAATCAGATTTTCTTCCTGGAATTAAAAAAGGGCGTCTTGGGAGAGAGCACCCGCTTCTGGAGATCATTCACTCGCAGTGGGGCGGTGGCAGGAATGGAATCCACGTAGCTTTAGGATACCCTGGGAAGGAGCCACTGCTCAATAGAGCATTGTTTTATTTTATTTTCGATTTATATCCTGCCTTTTTCCTACAAAGGGCTCAAGGCAGCTTACATCATTCTCTTCCTCCACCTTATCCCCACAACAACCCTGTGAGGGAGGCTGGGCTGAGAGTCTGTGACTGGCCCAAAGTCACCCAGTTGGCTCCATGGCCAAGCGGGGACTCGAACCCGGATCGTCTGAGTCCCAGTCCTGTGCTCTTCACTACGCCACACTGCGCAACTCACAGCTGAATGTCTGCATGACCCCCCCCCCCCAGAAGAGCATGGATGGAGGCCGTGCCGCCACCTTCTCCCCGGGCTCCCTTGCATTCACAAGGTGGCAGTGGAGGCCCCAGGCCCTCAGCTGGGATGGGCGCAGAAGCCTCCTGACGCTGCTGTTCCTGTGCTTTCCTCTAGGCACCGAAGGAGACCCTGGCCAAGGCCGTCTTAGCAGAGCTGCCGCAGCAGGTGGTCCAGTACTTCAAGCTGCAGAACCTGTCGCCGATCCGTTCGGAGCCCGCGTAGAGCCCCACGCGGCGCTCTTCGCCTGCATGTGCCCCGAAGGACAGAAGGTTGCATGCCTCGTGTGGTGTCAGACGATTTGTACTTTTTATTTAAATGATCCTTAACTTTAACGAAAGCAGCAGAAATACAACCCAGGCCTCCCTAACAGTACGGCCTGTGAGACAAGAAGCATCTGGACCCGTGCTCACAACGCAGGCCATTTCCCCCCGTAGCCCCGAGAGACAACTTTTAAGTATTTGAATGTACTTTGTACGATTTTGGTGAAATGAGAGAACCTTTTTACAAGTGGAACTTGCTTTTTCCAAGCCGTGATGTTCTTAAAATGTCATTGCCCAAAGAAGTGTAGGCAGTTCCTGGACACGGTGTACTGGCATTTCTCATGCTCTGTGCTCATTTTTATACCGTGCACATGTTCTATTTGTTATACTCAGGTGAATAAACAAACTCGGACTCTTTGCAGCTTCGTGAAACCCCTGTGTGATCTGTCTTGACTTTAACCGTCCAAGGCAAAGTATTTCCTCATATTAGCAAGGCTGAGGGAAGAGGCTTCCAGGCAGCTTTTGCGTCCAATTGTGGGTTAACCACAGAATTTAAGCAAAGAGTGACTACAGACATTTTGCTGCTGGTTGGCCCGTCTACTAGTTGGTCAAGGCCTCCCCAAGCTGCGAAGCTGCACAGGATGGTTCTATTCTGGTTAGTTTTCAAGGAAATGCATTCCTAGCTTTTCGGTGAACCAGGAGAGGGGGATCCTTGGTGATCCCGTGTACCTTAAAGCCCCCGCAAGGACCTCATTGATTCAAGGGCCACAAAGCACCTCCCCACCAGCCATTCATAGCCCTCTTCTCTTCAACTGCCATCCCTTCCCCTTCCCCCAGAGCCACCTGGGCCCCAATCCCCAGGTTTTTCCAGCTTGCCTTCTCCTCCTGTTGCTCCTTCCCAACTCCCATCTCAGCCTGTAGGAGAACAGACATGCCAGAAATTTTTCTACTCCTTGTCTGCTTTTTAAAGTGTCTTACACAAATGCAAAATAGCTTAAGTCTTCCATAAACCTCACCCATTGCACAAGACAGATAGAAAGATTATTCATCTTAAAAGCCAGGACCTTCCTGATGCTTTAGGCTGCAGCCACCAGGATCCCCAAATATCGGGCACGTGGGAGAGTTGTCGTCCCAACACACCTGGAAGACATCAGTTTTCCTAGCTCTGGCTTATCATCATTAACCAAAACAGCGATATAAAGTCAGGGAACTCGTGTTCAATTTTTACTCTGGTAGTCGAATGCATTGGGTGGCGGAAGCTGCTTTTAGGCAGGAGGCCCGGGAGCCATTTTTGATGACTGGAACCTATGCCCAGTGCAGTTTTAAATACAAAAATGACATCAGTAGCAGCTATGGCGTGCCGAAGTGTGAATATCGGCCTGTCTGCAAGCTAATTCGATAGAGTGTAAAAGGCAAAAATCCATTTGCAAGCCAGCTAATTTTGACTCTTGTAAGTGTGCCCAGAGATGTTAGGAGCAGGAAACTTGCTATTTTTATCAATTTTGGGAGGCTGCAGGGGGTAAGAGTGCCACATCATATCCATCCTTGTTGTAAAGGATTCTGGGTGCACTGAAACTTCTAATTTTGCTACAGTGCTGAGCTTTAATCTGTGTTACAATCGTGAGGTGACTTGGGGCAAAACAGGTACCCAAGAAATCAGGAATGAGACGCAGACCGTCTTTCAAGGAAGGCTGCCTGCAATGAGTGCATTTAATCGTTTGCCTTATAATAATGTAGAACAGCATTCATAGTATCAATCTTGCAAGCATTAATGTTTCATTTTTACATAAATACCAGTGTTTATACTAAACCTAGATGGTGCGCTTCCTGCCCCTCCCCAACATTTTGGCCGCTGACCTGTCTCCTAAACATCAGAGACACTTGCAGAACAGCTTTCCCCAACTTGGTGCCCTCTGGAGGGGTTGCGCTCCAGTTCTCAGCATCGGCATGGACGCAGAGTCTGCGACACTTTCCAGATGGCACAGCTGTCCCTTTCTAGGAAACAATGCAGCACAACAGGGCTTGTTACTGATCTGACTGAGAAACCAGCAAAACCCCTTTGAGACAGCCTAGACCTCCTGTGCACTCATCCCTGACACCCACTCCGAGCAGGAAGACATTGCAGGAGGAATGCTGGCCCCCTGGACACACAGGAGAGAGACCTGCCCAAACAACTTTTCAGCAGCAGGACTGGGTGAGTAAGTACGAATGGCACGACCCAAGATTTAAAAAAACGTTTTCAGAATTTCTTTAATCGGTGCAACGCTAGCACTTTGCTACAGTATCCCAGCAATCCACATTTTACCATCTGGCTTGATTCTATGGTCTTCCCTCCTCAATTGTATCAGAAAGATGGTATGTGAGAGCTCAGAGAGCTGTCCCACGTGCCCACGCCTGCCAGGCGACCATGCCCCAAGAGTGCGCCTTTGCGAACCAATTCGTAACACCCCCAGGGAAGGATGTTTAGAAATGCAAGCCCCCCCATCCTCCCCCTCAAGCCTGTTGCTTGAGCGAATGCATTTCTGGATGGAATGAGTAATCCATCCGTGCTCCCCTGCAAATGGAACTGAGCCTTGGAGGGAGGGAGGGAGGGAGGGAGGGTGTGTGGGGGGGGGAGTCCCGCCCCTCTCGCACTCTCTCACACATACACTCACACACGGAGCCCTAGTACATTATTTTGGTATTGTCTAAAAAATACAGATGGAAGAGTGGTGCGTTTGGAAAGTGAGTGGGACGAAAAAGGCGAAGGCAACGGGTCCCCGTCGAGCATTCGCGAGGGCTGGGAGGAGCCCTAAAGGGGAGCGTCAAAGAAGTTGCTGCCACGGAACACGGAGGAGACAATCTTGCCGGTGGAGTTGATGGTGCCCTCGCTGTCCGAGCTGGACTCGGAGTCGCTGCTTCCTGAGTAGGCGCCGAGGCCAGGAAGGATCCCGATGCACACGGCGGCCGAGGGGCAGTGGATCGCGGAGCCGCTTGGGGAGCTGCTGCTTAGCGGGACACAGGACGGCTTTTCTGCGAAAGGAGGGGGCAGCATTACGGAGCAGGCGAGGGTTGCGCTGGCGAGCTGCCGTCAGGCCCGAGCGGGTGGCACTCGCCTCCACCACCTCCCTCGACCTGGGGCCCTTCAGATGCACGGACTACTGGCCCTGGCGGCTGGGGGTGATGGGGGCTGCCGTCCAGGCTGGAGAGGGCTGCCGCATGGAGTAACTCGCTGCTTCTTGGCATGAACCAACTGACGGAGTCGATTTTGCACGCCGGCATACATGCTTCATTGGTCATCACCCCAGCACAGGGATGGTTGCTCTGCACACCGGAAACACCTGTGAGCTGCAACTCCCGACCCGGCCAGTGGAGAGGGCTGACTGGAGTCCCAGGCCCAGACGCCTGCCTGAGTCTGGACGGCAAGCTGCCTGCCCTAGTCACCAGCTCTTAAGTCATTCCAGGAGGCTGCAAAGCAAGAGACTCAGGGCAACCAGGAACAAAATGCTCCAGGTGTTCCCCTACCAGCTATGAGGAGCTTCCTTCATCACACTGTATCCTACCGTTTCCCTCTCGGAAGGAACTCCCAGTGACTTTGTGGTCTTCCTCCCTGCTGCTTCATCCTCACCATCACAAGTCACCCAGCAAGCTCCCAGGCTGAAGGGACTGGAAGCGGAGTCTTGGCCGAACGTTCCTAGCCCCTGCACTCACAGTTTAGACCTGCGTGGCCTGCTTTACCGGAATAGATCGGACGTTCTCTCCCTTGAGTATGTAATGCATGGGGGCTCCGGAAACAAACAACTGCCAGAGTCCCCAGAGGGAGGCTCATGGGATCGCCATTTTCTATACGGCCATCAGCCCAAGCTCTCTGGCCGATTCACAACAATGAACCAAAATACTAAGAATAGCCATGCTCAGTTGGCCAGAAATCCCCTCCGCTGCCGAAGCACCTGCAGCTCCAGGAAGAGGGGAAGGCGCAAGCACGCTCTTGCCAGCTCCCAGCAGCACGCTGGACGGTGTTCCCTGGACTGCTGGAATGGGTGCGCCCACGACGACAAGCTGCAAGGTGGTTCTGTGACTGGGAACACCTGGCTGCCCCGCGGGAAGCATTTGGGAGTGACTCCTGTTGTGAGGGGAGAGCAAGAGCCAACCTCCCGTGGCTAAGGAGCGCTGGAAGGGGAGTCAAGCAGCTGGAGAGTCGGCCTGTGCCTCGGCTGCAGTTACACACCTGCTCGGCTAGCCACGCCTCTCGCCGGAAGCGAAGGGCGACAGCTTGGCTTGGTCACAGCAATGACTGAGGAGCTATTCCAGCTCTGTTTGGCCAGTTTTTCCCATTCTCCCCAGCAAGCCTGCTGCAGGGTGATGACCTGCAGGAGGCGGAGGGGGGCAGAGGCGGCCTTTTTTAATTTAGGGCTGGAGGCCGAGTTCTTCTTGCCCCATCGCTTTAACCTGCTGTGCTCTGGCTCTTAGGCCAGACAAGGGCACTGCATGTTGTGCTTCTGCAGGCTGCTCCAGGGGCCGCTCTGGCTGCAGGGCAGAGTGAAAATGCTCAGAACAAACAGGACAGCAGGCCGGCAGGCCTTACTGCCCGGCGACAGCACATGACACAGTGCCCCGGAGCGCACCGGGAAGAAAAGACTCAGCATCATGTCCACCTCGGGACTCTGGCCTGGCTGCTCCCAAAGGAGCAAAGAACTGCAAGCCAAGTTACTGTGGGCCATGCTGGCGGGGGTGATGGGAATCGTACTCCAATGCATCTGGAAGGTGCCAGGCTGGAAGTTGGCCACCCTCAGAGGTACAGGGAAAGGGCTCTAATACCATCATCCCCAGCGTGAGTAACAAGTGGCAGAGTTCCTCATTGTTCATTGGCTAAAAGCCGGCGAACGAGAGGGGTTAACAGCGCAGCACGTCAGGGGGCAGAGCTGATGCTGCCGGCCCTGCAGCCCTTTGTGTTTCCAGTGAGCCCAGTTCAACCCAAACAACAAAATGGAGCCAAGTCAAAGAGGTGCGCACTGTGACGGGGCACTCCAGTCACTATGGACTAGCACCTACCGGCAGCGCTCCGAGTTCATTCAATCACCTTTCAAAGTCACTTAGACTGGGGGCCGTCACGGCACGGCGTAGCTACCCGCGATGTGAAACAGCGCCTTTCCTTCGTCCCGAATCTGCCACCAACCAGCTTCGTAAGGTTAGGCCTTGTGCCCCAGTGGGAGAAAAAACCTCTCCCTGCCTGCTTTCTGTACAGAATTGTTTGCTTCTGTTGTGTCTCCCACTATTCAGCATTTTCCCTAAGCTACGAAGTACCCTTTCTGCACCTCGTCCAATTTGTCATATCCATTTTTTCTAGGTGCAGTGACCAGAAATGTACACAATATTTTAAGTGTGGCTGCAGCAGCGAAATGACAGGCAGGCAGGCAGAATCTGCCAGGGAGCTCTTGAGCAAACAGATCCTGGACCAGTCTTCAGTGTGGGGTAAAGTTTTGATTTTCTAAGGAAATTGCTGTACAACTGCTAAAACTGTTATACACACACACACAGCACTTCACTTCTCCCAAAATCCTCAAAAAGAGCAACACGCACAGCAGTGTGACTCCTGCAACATGTAAGGTCCAGCCTTGAGGCACGTGTGGGTCACGGCCTTTCCCCCACCACAGAGGGGCCCTTACGTGATCAGTCCCCAAAGGGGCTGCCTGCTAGGTCTCCTGGCAGGGTTGCCGGCAGCCTGCAAGAGTGAAACACCCCTCTCCTCCTTGGGAGCGTCGGCTTAAGAAGCACTCACAGAGCAGAGGAAGACAAGGGGCGGCTCCGAGGGGCGCTCACCCAGGATGCATCCCCCCCCCAAACACCCATCACGTGCACCTGGAGCTTTGTCATGGTCGGGATCTGGATCAAGCTTCAACCTCTTCACACTGTTGCCACCTTCTGAACTGCAAGGAAAGGAAGAATCGGACATGAGCTGTAGCCTGAGTGTTGCCATCCAGCGGGGCAAGCAACCAGCACTGCCATGGGTGCCTTGGCTGCTAGTCAGTCCTCATCAGTGGCTCTGCTGGCCGATGAGGGATGGAGGCCAAAACGTCCAAAGGCCCACCAGTTTTGGAGAATACTCCCTGTCCTTCCCCAGCACCAACACTGTGGAACACAGAAGAACGTGAACCTTGGCAGGCTCAGGAAGCCAGCCCAGGTATACGCTTGACTGCCTCATCCTAATATCACTTCAAGCTTCAAAGGGGCTTGGGGAGCACCCCCCCCCCCACAGCATGGCAACTAGGGGAGTCCCTGGCCAGCTTCCCAGCTCTGGACCGGGACTGATCCCAGTCGAGCTGAATCTCGCCCCCTTTGGCAAATGAATGCATGAGCCGCTGATGGAACAGCCACTCAGAATGCAGCTTAACGAGCCGCCAGGATCACACAGTGTGTCGCTCGAAGCAAGGAACCTTTCTTTTTTCCCAGCCATGTAATACCAGTTCTAGAATGGAAAGCGAAGAAATCAGATTTGCCTCGCTTGGAGCCAGAGGTATCTTTTAGGCTCTGTTACCTAGAACAGAACTCTCTATGGCATGGGTCCTCAAACTATGGCCCGGGGCCGGATCCAGCCCGCCATGCCCGTTTGGACCCACTGCACCTGCCTGCCACCGCCTACCTCGCCCTGCACGTGGGCAGGCAGTGGCTTGCTCGCTCGGAGAAAACGGTCTCCCAAGCGAGCGAGCCGCTGCCTCGTGCACCCGCCTCGCGGTGCGTGCCCATCCCACCTCAGCGCGCGCACCCGCATGCCCGCCCTGGCCCATGTGCACCACCGGCACCACCTTTCTGGCCTGCGCCCAGCACTGGCAGCGTTCAACTGGCCCCTGCGGGAAAAGTTTGGGGACCCCTGCTCTGTGGGAATGTGCAGAAGTGCGGAGCTTACCTTCGATGTTTCACGGCTCCTGCCAACAGTTTTGCCTGAGAGAACTTGCCCTTGTTATCGGCCGGTTTCACGGACAGCTTCTTCTCTGCCTCCTTCTTCAGGTCAGTGCTGACCCCCACCTTTGACAAAGTGCTGTGAATTCAGGTTTTAAGGAACAGAAGGAGACAAGGAATGATGGTACTGAAAGATGTCGAGAGGAACCAGGGATCGGGGCTTGCAGGTCCAGCAATGCACATGGCAACAGGTTTTCTGGACCTTAGCAGCTACTGTTGCCGTCAATGTCTTGGAAAGAAGGCACATGCACAAAAGAGAAAACCTGCACAGAAGGAAACTGATTTTTGGGATTAACTTTTCACTGCAGCTGCAGGCTTTAAATCAGACACAACAGCACACTGATTTGTTTACCAATGACTGATTCAAATGATTTTTTTAAATTAATGCTTTATACTCTAACAATGATTTTTATAGTCCTCTGGAATATTTTGTTGCTTAAGTACATAATACAGTCCATCATATTTCTGAAGTTCCTCATCACACCAACAACTTTCTTGCAGCTACTTAGGGCCAAAACTGAGGAGATAAAGGGCTTCTGCAGAAAGACTGACTTTTAAGAATGCAGACTGGCTAATCATTATTTGGATCACACAGTAGGTGTGAAAATAGGATTTAACCCCCTCCTTTCTTGCTTTGGTCCCAAGGAAATCCTCTGAAAGTAGAATTCTGCTGGGAAGAAATCTCCAGCTTCAAATTAAGGACTTTGCTCAGGCCCAAGTTAGAGGTAAAAGGGCTACATTCCCCTTCCACACTGGCTGTGCTCCCACCCTACACTCATCCTGGACAACAGCTGTATTTTTAAAAGCTTCACATTAAATACAAAGACATATTCAACATCATGTCATGCACATGGTGGGCATGTCACGAACGGAGCCGGCTGGAGCCGGGGGTCAGACTAGATGGCCTGGGAGACCCCTTCTGACTCGGGCTGTTTCTGCTTCTGTGTCTAGTTTGAGCCTTAATTTGTTGGGATGCTCTGCAGTCCCATTCAACGCAGCCCACTGGTGCCATCTTCTGGATAGCCTCGTCAAGTAAATCACCTGCAAACCTTTTCCTCCAAAGACATATTTTTAACCATCAGAGAAATACAAACACACACACTAGAATAATAATCACAACACACGCCATGGCTTTTGTCCCAAACCCACCCGTGGATAAGAAAAGACCATGCAACTTCTTTTTTAAAATCCCCATGAGTTACAGCCGCTAGCTCCCGATGCTCCTCTCCAAGACACGCTGACGAGGGCCTCATGCTCCCCTTTGCGCTCTCAAGTCACAGCAAAAAAAATCCCTCCAGCACCAAGGATATTCTGTACTCGTTCAGCTCCTTTAGGTCCTCTTCTCTACGCTGCTTCTCTAGGAGCACTTGCTGCCGAGAAACCTCGTCGAGGAAATTGGATTCGTCCTCATCCAGGCCTCTCACCATGTTTTCTGAAGAAGATGGGAAAAGGGCTTCACTGAGAAGGCAAGCAGCTTGGTGCACTTTATTTATTTATTTATTTATTTATTTATTTATTTATTTATTAATTAATTAATTAAAACATTTTTATGCCGCCCCATTCGCCGAAGCCTCGGGGCGGCTTACAACATAGATAAAACAATAAGTTAAAATATCCATATAACTTGGTCCATATAACTTGGTCGCAGGAAGACTGGGGGCTCCCTTCCAGCAGATCAGCCCCATCTGGGGCTGTGCTCCAGGCACGGGTTGGCAGCAGGGCTCAGGAAGGGCTGCCAGGGTGGAACCAGGGCCTTCCTCCCGCAAGGCTGACACTCTGTCTCTGACCGCCCTCCCTCCCTTCCACTCCAGGCCGACATCTCAGTGCTATGCAGGCAGGTCGCATGAGCCGGCCTGAACCACAGTGCTGCCTCTTGCTTTACTGTGCATGCGTTGGCACATACGCTTCTCTTGCGCAACAGCGTCTGTTTTCAAGATTTATTTATTTTTATTTATTTAAAGTTCTTCTATGCCATCCCATTACTAAAAAGTCTCTGGACTGCTTACAAAGAATAAAAAAACAAACAAAACCCAATAACAAGATTCAGCTTTCAAAGGATCTAGAAGTGGGCAACAAAGCCTGAAATCACGAGAATTCATTGCTGAAGCCTTGCATGGAGTTTGGGAAAAAGCCTAGTTTTCAGCATAAAAGTGGGTGCTTGTTTGGCCTGTACCCTTTCACAGCGCCAGAGGAGCAAGCCCCACATGATGTGAGCAGCCTTGTACACAAAATGCTAACCTCTCTGCAGTAGGAAGCTTCACATTTGGGAGAAGGGATCTAAGCCTGACCTTCACTCACAACAGGTTCTGCTTCTGTGTGTAAATATGTTTGGATTGAGAAACCCAGGATCACATGAAGCATCACCCCTGTTCTGAGGTGAATCAGGCCAAACCCAGGCTCACCACCACAGTAAAAGCAAGGACAATGTTTATGGAGAAAAAAATAATGGCTCCTGGGAAAAGCGCTGGGACTAGGAACCACAAATCCATGCGTCGGCGATTCGAGTTTCACCCTTAGTCTTGCACCTCATGGTAAAAGACAAGTGTAAGTTTGCCTCTGCGGCTGTAAAACATTTAGAAATGTTTTTTTTAAAAAACCTCTGATTTTTGGGATGTCAAATTCTGTGCTTGCACAGAAACTCTGAGGAGGCCTAAGGCTTAGTACAGGTATGAGCTCTACTTTTGCAGCAGGGGCTGGAAGCCCCTTTCTCATTTCAAAAAAAAAAAAAAAAACATACATGGGAAGCTCGGGGCTGCAAGAAGGATGAAATGCACTGAAAGCCTCTTCTCTGGGCAAGAAGGATCCAGAGAGACCTTTGCTGAAACTTACTGAACTTGAACTGCTCCTCAAACTCCTGCTGCTTCTTATCTTTCTGTTCCTGGAGCCTTTCATAGAGTGATCTGGGATCGTAAACTTCCTCGGGGCATTCTGGGAGATGAACAACAAACGGATCTTAGAAGGGACCAGGTTGAAAAGAAACAAGGCTCTGCAGTGAGGTGGATGATACCAAGAGGGCCTTTCCCACCCAAAGCAGCTCAACTGGCAGGCACATCCCGGTCTTCTCAGAGCCCAGTGGAGGCCCTATTATTTCCCAGCCATTTTGGTTTCTGTTGTGTTACGTATGTTACTGTACTTTAAAACTTTGTACTTTTATTTTTTCATTCTGGTCTTAACATGGTAGTTGAAAACATCATGTTTCATCATGATAGATTTAATAATTTTATTTGCTGAGAACCCTCCCCAAGAGAACGTTGGCTGTTGGGCATTAAAGGAACATAATATTTTCTAGCCAGCACTCACAATGAGAGCAGGCCTGCAACATTCCTAAAGATGATTAACTTCTTTCCTTTTAGTTATCCCTTTTGAAAAGCTGGGCAGGTATGTTTTGGAGATGATTCAGGAACAGTTCTGTAATTTTCTGCTGGGCTTGACAGTGCTTATTACTTTTGGTTTCCAGTACCCTCTCCTTCCTTATTCAGTCAACCCCTCCCTCAAGCCAGCACTTTGCATCAATTTATTTCAGACTGGCACTGAGCCTTGACTTGCACTCTGACTGTACTCAAATGGTTTATTTATTCAAAACCTGTATATCCTAGAATCAGTCATAAGACAAACCTCACTTGCCTCTCCTGAAGTGTCCCACCCAAGAGGCAAATACCTTTGGGGTCGTCGGGTTTCCGGACCTTTTCCCATTCTTCCTGCCTTCGTTTGCGACGCTCTTCTATCTCCACTTCAGACACAAACCTTTTGTTAATCACAAGGTCAGCACTACCTTCTCCTCCATCCATTGTGGAACAGCCTGTGAAGAGGAAACGCTCAGAACAGACATGCTGGTCTTCTTTCAGAGGACTCAATTCCATTTCTGAAAGCACTAGAGAGCCATATTTCAGTGTGGGGCAGGGCGAAAACTACCAGCAAGTTTTAGTTTCTGCCAATAACTAAGCCTTACAAGAGCTGTGCACTCTTTTAGAATGAAAGAACAACTGCCTGAATGTGTTACTACTTCAAGAGTCTATAGCAAAATGCAAAGATATATGATTTCTGAGAACTGTAACCATTGTGTGCTGCACGATTTGCCTTAATCAAAGAGCCTCACTGATTTGGAATCTCAGAAAGGTGGCATGTGTGACAGAGGGACCAGGGCCCTGATACCCTTATCCTTTTGCAACTCAACTAGAAGAGTATTCTCACCCGCCCCGCCCCTGTCCTTGGGGGGAAAAAAGGGGGGGGACATCAAATAAGATTCCATCCCTTTCTCCCCCAAGGTAAGACACACTGTCTGCAAGCACAAATTCTGGTTGTCTCTCAAGGGTGGCTAAAATAGTGAACACTTCAAATATAAGAGTACAAGGTGACCAACAATAAAAGTTAATGTTTACATTTAAAATCATAAAACAAAAGCATAAATGAATAGTAAGTTGAATACAGCAGCCCAGAAGAGAAAAAATTTCACAAGAGTGGAAATGTACGGTAGTCTGATACATTTGCAGCACTTGTCAGCAACACATTTTATAAGACTAAATAAAATATACCCAACCAGAAAAAATTGGATTGGGTGCACACATATACATGTCTGTAAATATCAAGCACACACACAAAACCTGCATCTGTAAGACAACCATTGTGATAGGGTCCCAGCCGGGAAAATCACATGGGACAGCACTTTGCATGTTTTATCGTATCTAAGAAATAAACATCCTGGGTGTTTCAACTTTCCCTCACTGTTAGCGGTTCTGTACTCTGTCCTACCCCCGGGAAGTTATCACCATGAACCACACGTTTCCTGCAGGGGGTGGCCAATGGAGGTGCAGTTCAAGTGGTATGAGGCACAGGTAGACCTCCTTCGAGCAAAAAGGGCCACTGGGCTACAGGCAGTCTTGCACTGTTGCCCGTGACTGCACGCTGGTCTCTCCTACCGCAAAGGAAACAAAATACTGGAAGGGAGCGGCGGCAGCAAGCATGAAAAGCGGGACGCTCTCCTGCCTGGACTCAGCTTGTGGTCACGCAGGCAGCCACCACTGAATTATTCAGGGAGAAGTGAACTCATGGCGGTGCATTTCCAGATGTCGCCCGCTGCCTGGGATGGATGTGGAAGCAGAAAACAAACTGAGTTCAGTGAAGAGTTTGATGCTGCGGCTCTTACTGTGTCTTATCTGCTGAACTCACACCTTCCCCCTGCTGCTCTCTGTTATTAACTACCCCAGGAAAAAGAAAGCACTTGTGCTTGAAAACACTGCTGCCTTTAGACATAATGTCCCACCCGCAACATACAGGCGCTGAAAAGGGTGCTGGGTGGGGAGAGGGGGTCTTGACCAAGGGCAGTTCCACAGGCCCTTCTGACGCTAAAAGTCCTTCTTTCACACCAACCATACTTGTCAGAATGGGTGTCTTGCTATATAATGTAGTGGGGACAGGAGTGAGCACTGACACACCAAGCCATGGGGTGAGAGGAGAGGTGATGACAAGAGGCCAAGAAACCATGTAGAACAGCTGCAGATGAAGAGCTAAATACATGCTGCAGTGCCCTAAACGGACAGCTACATGTGTTTCCTCTGCTCGGCTGTAAAACAGCAAGGATTTTAACGCTTATCGCAAGCTACTTAGAACTAAGCGGAAAAAAGTTTGGCATATACATATTTAAAAGTAAAGGTAAATAAGCAGAATAGTAATGAGGAAATCAACGGCACTTACAGTGACAATAAATGTAAATGTTTATTAACCATAACTAGGAAAATAACACATTGCAGCTTTCCCCAAGCTGGTGTCCTCTGCAGACCTGGAACCACAGCTCCTATCATGTGTAGCTAGGAATGATGTGTGTTATCGTTCAGCCCATCTGCTAAGCACCAGCCTGGGCTGACGTTCAAGCTCCCTTCCCAGAACATCATTAGGTGGCCTAAAGCAAGCTGGCCTCTCTCAGCCTTGGCAATACGGGGGGCCATGACACTGACTTACCTTACATGCAAGGACGGGCAACTTGTGCCTTCCCAGATGTTTTGCGCTGCAATTCCCATCTGCCTTTACCATCGGCTGGGGATGATGGAAGTCAGCGCAAAACTGGACCTAGGCTGTTGTCAGGATTACGACTGAGTTAAGAACCATGAAGTGCTTCTGAGCAACCAAAGTGCTCCACACACATTACTAAGAGCGCCTGATGGGGTCGGCCTGGAACTCGAGCCTAACCTACCTCGCAGGGTTGTTGGGAGGAGGAGCCCGAAAGGAGGGAGCGGGCTATGGAAGCCGCCCTGGGCTGCGTGCGAGGGGAAAACCAGGGTCGCCGCGCAGTGCAACTAAGGTCCAGGCAGCCATCCCCCTCCACAGCTGCCTATTTATCGATGAGTAAAATGGCTCGGACTTGAAATGCGCGTAGGAAGAGGGGCCCTTTAAGCACAGCAGGCTCCAGAAGGCTCCGCTACCCGCGCCGCCGCCCCCTCAGAAGCGGCGGGAAACGCGCCGTGGAACTCACCTTCTCCGCCATGGACCCTCCGCGAGGCCTCCTCCTTCCCGGCCCACCTTTGTGGTCAGGCCCGGCCTCAGCAATGCTCCGCCTCTTACCCCTGACTTCCGCCCCGCCTCTTCCGCCACCTCCCCTCAAAACTGCCCAATCAAGCAGCACCTTTCCTCCTTTTCCCCTCCCTCCTGACGGCCTGGGTAATCCGTCCCTTCCTCCAACGGTGGCTTTTGTTGCAAGCGCCCCTCTCCCCCTCCTGAAAGTCGAGCAAGGATTGGGCCGCATGATAATCAATCCACGGGGGGGAGGGGAAAGAGGCCTGAGAGGGCCAGGATTGGCCGAGCCGCGGGCGCGGTGTCGCTTCAGAATGGGTCGGCGGCGCGCAAGGGCGGGGGAAGGCGGTGGGCGTGGCCAGTTGCCTGGGGTTACGGAGAAGGGGGGCGGCGCGCGGCCTGGAGCGGAGGGGCGGGGCCGCCGCCCGCCGCCGCCTCGCTCGCCGGAATGGGGCGGTCCGCTGGGACCGCGTCCGCCTGAGGAGAAGGGACGGCGCACCGGGGCAGCGCCGCCGCCCCTCGGAGGGAAGGAAGACGCGGACGCCGGCGAGGACTGGTCGTGGTGAGCCGTGGCCGGGGCGCGGAGGGGCCGCGATCCTGAGGCGGGGCGCAGGGCCCGCGGTCTCCCGGGGGGGGGGGGGCGCGGCGGCTCTGAGGAGCCTCTGCGGGGGGCGAGCTGGAGGGGCCCCTCCCCCTTCTCCCCCGCCCGCAGCTGTGCAGCGCCTGGCGCGGCGCGAGGCCCTTTGTGTGCGCGCAGCGCCTGGCGGCGCGGGCCAGCGCGTGTTCCGCCCCTGCCGCGGTTGCATTTGCGGACCCAGGTCAGGCAGTGGTGAACGTGAGCGCTGGTGTGAGGGCTTGCCTTCCTGTGCGTGCATGACGTCATGGGGATCCTCCACACAGCCGACCCCGACGGGCTCCAGCGGCGTGGGATTGCAACTCCCATCATCCCCGTCCCCCGGTGGCGAAGACCGGAGTTCCAGGCTGACACATGCGGAGGGCGCTGGGTCAGGGAGGGTCGGCTGAGGTGACGATAGCAGCGCTTCATTAATACAGCATCATTGATAGCAGCAAAAACTCTTTCACGTCTTTTCCATGGCGGAGTCTTTCATGCAGGTTTATCTTGGTTACCTCAGGCAGGTGAGCCCCCACCAAGGAGGAAGCCGCTGCCTTGCTAGGATCGGACTGCTGTCGTTTAATAGAGCTGAAATAACTGCTGGAGGGGTGGCGGCAGAAGCTTGTGCATTGAGAGACAGGGCCATAGTTTAACGAAGGCAGTGTAATTCATATTAAGGTGTATGTTCTCTCTCTCTCTCCCTCCCTCTCTCTCTCTCTCTCTGACAGAGACTCACAGACACACACAACTCTGGCCAGCGTAAAGACAGCTTTCTTAAGTACCTGTAATTTTCTTTTCCGTCTCCATCTTTGGGAACCATACCAATTCCTCCACATTTTTCATCCCTTCCCTTCTCTCCACAGGTTTTGTTTTTCGTTCTAATATCAGGTGTACCCTGCTGGGAGACACACAGACTTGCTTCATATGGTCGCATGGCTTCTTTTCCCTGCTGCCCTGCATGCTTTTTCTGTAGGTCGATTTACCTAATTACCCTCATGGTGTGTGGCTTCCTGTGTCATCTAAACCAGGTGAAATGCACAGCCAGAGTGGCTTCAAAACCATCTGAGAACTGATGGCACACTGCAGGGTTATGGGGTGGTTTTGAAGCTACCCATCTCACCCAGTTTGGATGACATGGGAAGCCCTTCTCTCTCCCAGGATTGTCCAGACCTGGACAGTCTGAGGTTGCATTCACAAGGTCACACTTCAGTCTGTGGTGTTCATGATTTTCTGACCTGCATTCATGTTTCATTCCTCCTGCATATAACAAAACCTTCAGATCAGTTTCACTTCTCTTTTTGCTTAGAGGAAGCACAAGTGCATCTTTAAGCCACTGTTTGAGCAGTAGGTGCTTTGAGCAACTTTTCTGTTCACAGTTTACCATAATCATACATGAAGAGTCAAAGACTGCATTTATCAACCTTTTAACCCTCTCTGATTACACAGTGAAGGGTAACTAATGCTGGATTAAGTACCCTGTGTAATGTTGAACATGTAGCTCTAAAAGATGAGGGTTCTCTAAAGCTGAAATTTGTAGGTTGGCACTCTGGGACCTGGGAATGTATTTCCTGGGACTATGAAGTTCTGAGAGAAGAGAACAAAGCTGAAACAGTTTGAGGAACGGTTTGGGGGAGAGCCTGAGGAAAGCAATCTTCCTCAGGAAATAAGATGAAACTTGGAGACCGGTATGCCAAAAAAATGACCTCCCCAGGGGTGGGGTGGGGTGGGGGTAGTGGGAGGGACGGCAGGCATTACCTGGTTGGAGTGTCTTGTGATGAGACAGGTGATTTCGAGGGGAGGTTAGCAGCTGGTTTTCTTCCTCTTTTTAAGATGGGCAGCATCCAAATTGCAAGTTTTACTCTTGAATTAAAGAGAGATTTTTGGGAGCCCAGCATAGTAGATTACCTGCCACGTGTCTCTTTGTGTGATCCACTGCGTTACTTTGCCTTTTTCTGTTTAACTTCTTCTTGAGACGGGTAATTCTCCAATTAGTTTGGCTGTATTTGGATCATTAAACCATTTCCAGTGCTGCTTATGTAATCCCGCCAAGGAGGTTGCTTGTTGCATCTCTGCAGGAGTTACTGTTCTGGAATTGCCTCCTGACTACAAGGCAGCTCTGGACTATAACTTGCCCAAGAGAGTGAAGGGTGGGCTCCATTGGAACTGGGCAGTCTTTTCATACCCTAAATTTGCCTTCCACAACCTGATTCCCTCCAGGTTGGGAGGGAGAAGTTGGATCACAGGTCCCATCATTCTGGCCAGCTGACCAAGGCATGCTAGTTGAGGATGGTGGAAATTGTGGCATAGGAATTTAGGAAACCTGCTTGTAATATTTCTGGGCTAAAAAAAACAATCTGTCATGTATCCTCATTACTATTCAGCTTGGGGTGCGGGGGGAGCATACCTCTGCTGCTAAAAGTTTGGGAACTACTGCCCTCTAGTCTTGAGGCAATTTCTGAGGGAGATTGTTGGATGACTCCTCATTTCATTCCAGGTGATAGAAAGAGAACGGTGTTTTCCTATCATGTTTCATGATGTAGAAGAGGTCCTTAGAATGTGGGGCAGTCTGTTTTGACTGGAGCATAGAATATGGGCATGTTTCTGGTGGCTTCCCAGATGCATCCTGCATCTACTCTCAATATGCCATGGTTGTAAATGCCTTTGAAGAACCTGCCATTTTAGTGCTTATAATTGCCAGTAATGGAAATGAGGCAGAAACGGTTGTTCAAAGAAATTGTAGGGCCTTTACTGAAAATGCCATTTGCCATCTTTCCCTGTAATCTTACTTTCTGCAACCTGGCATCCTCCAATCCAGTCCCCAGTTGTTTGCTGTGATGGCTGGGAATTCTGGGAGTTGCGGGTGAGCACATCTGGAAGGTGCCAGGGTGGGGTCAGACTGCTGTAATCTTTCTGTATCATCACACCAAATACTTGCCAGGCATAGCTTTGTTTTGAACCATTAGAACAGGAAGCTTTCAAATGCTGTGAGAATATTCAGTCTTCTCTTGATGGGAGAAGCGTTTCATGTCCCTGGAAGGGTTGCTATCTGACCATGAGATCGTCTTGTCTTGCTTATGTGATCAGTGAGTACCATCTTTTCTTTTTTTCTTTTTTAGTATTACCCTGTTTTTCTTGGTTTTTTATAGGTACTTTGTTATTAATCAAAGATAGTAGAATAATAGCATTAGAAGGGGCCAATAAAGCTACTGAACTTAACTACTGCTACTGGGCTTGATGTTCCTGCACATATCAGCTGGGCAGAAAAATAAAATTGCTCACAAGCAGTAATACAAGACTTCTGACCCGGAAGCACACCAACTGAGACTGGGAATGCATGTCAGCATTTTTTTTAATGAAATACCTCTTGTCTGTATTCTAATAGCAAACATGGGGATCCCCTGTTTAACAGCAGTGCAGCAAAATGAGTAAAGACAAGGTAAATATTTCTAACTGTACAGGGGTGCCCCTTCTATGCAAAATTGAAACAGTTTTCATTTTGTATTTTTAAAAGCACAAATCGCCCCATAAAGGCTGAGCTTTTCTCCATTGGGCTACGTTGGCAGATGACGAGGTGTAGCTTACAAAGCTTGGAATGCTGGGGTAACTGGCACTGAGCTTTTTTAGTTGTACTTCAGTGGCATCCCGGTGTTTACCTCCATCCCTGCCCCCCACTCCCGTTTACATGGTTGGCTTTTACGTGTGATTCAGTCCTGTGCAGGGAAAAGTGAAATGTTGAACTTCATGAAGCTGTTGTGGAAAGAACAGCTCCAGCTTCCATCTCTTATGAGAAATGTTATGAACTTTTTCTTGTTGGGGATCTTTGTGTGAAGTATATCTGCCTTTCCTCTCATAGCCCTGCACATCTGGAGGGTACCACAACTCCCACCATCCCCTTGAGCACATCAAGAGAGTGCCACATTGGAGAAGGCTGATCCTTTTTACGCCTCACCAGACATTTTTGTCATATTCAAGCCCTTCCTGCAAGATGTTCTGCCTGTCCTAACAGCAGGCATGTTGCTGCTAACTGGTTAGTCGCAATAGTAGTCCAGAGGAATTTTCCTAAGATGATGAAATGTAAGTGCCCCTTTTTGTTTGGCAGGACAGCAGGGGATAGTACTGGGGTGAGAACGTGTGGGATACGGGCCCACATTAGCAATATTTGTTTAAATAAGCTCTCATTTTGTGTTATCTTGGTATTGACTCGCTTAACTTGCCTCCTGTTCCTTTGGCTTTAATGTAACTATGCGTGTGCCTGAATTCAACACAGTGCGTGTGTTAAGCTTATTTCAGACCTTTGCCAAGAACCCCCGTACCGAAAAGGTGTGGGCACTTCACCCATTATGACATAAACAAAGAGGAGGCACTGGCCAGGCGTGAGCATAACCACTGCTGGCTGGCGTGGCCCACTGGCCTTCCTATCAGCACCTAGGCACCTTCGTAGCCCATGGAATCGCAAGCTTGTTTGTTCCTCAATAGGTGCATTAGAATTGTTAAAAATAGTGAACAGTGTATTACTTTTTCATTTTTAAACTGCACCATCACCAAAGTTTACTGGGTGCTTCTCAAATTAAAAACAAAACGAGGGTGTAACTATAATGAAATAACTCAAGTGAACGCAAGATAAAATCAGCAGCGGCACACAACAAAACCAAAAATAACAGTGATCATGGAGATAAAAACTTTGAGACTAGGGTGAAAATGTCCCATTCTCCTGTCCCAACCAAGGCATATATGAATGGAGTTGAGTGTTAGTTAGTTAGTGGCAAAGCTTGTTCCCCAGGGCCATTACATACAACTTTTCAGGAATTCACACTGTGTTAGTTTTGAAAGCAAGAATCCTAGAAAGGGGTTTTTGGAGGCAGTTGAAGGTGAAACGCAAGACGTTGAAAGGTGTTGCTTAACACTGAGCTTCCTGCCCTGCTCCTTGCGTGGTTCAGGAGTGTTGGGTTACTGTCTTACCCTCTTTTATTAAATGCCAGCATTGCAGATCAATGGATTGTGGATTCTTGCCAAGCAAAAATGAATATTCGAATTCTAGAGCAAAAAGCAGCTTGAACATAAGCAGTGGGCAGATTTACACCTATTTTGAAAAGTCAGCATGCTGGTTAGTGGTGTGAATGTAATGGAAAAGTTTGAGTTAGGTTTTTCATATGTAAATTAGGGGAATTTGCATTAGAAAAATTTCTGGTGCCCTAGAGAGTAATCAATTTTAGCAAGTTTATTTTATTTATTTATTTATTTATTTATTATTTCGATTTATATCCTGCCAGTTTCCTACAAAGAGCTCAAGGCAGCTTACATCACTCTCCTCCCCCATCTTATCCCCACAACAACAACCCTGTGAGGTAGGTTGGGCTGAGAGTCTGTGACTGGCCCAAAGTCACCCAGTTGGCTCCATGGCTGAGCGGGGACTCGAACCCAGATCGCCTGAGTCCCAGTCCCATGCTCTTAACCACTACGCCACACATTTTAGTTGTATTTAGCTAACAAAAGTATACCTTTTTTGTGTCAATATACCAATAAGTATTTGGGTTGAAATATTTGGGGGGGGGGGAAGCACACGTAATATGATTTGCAAGTTATATAGACACTGTTATAGCAATAGCAGTAAAAATGTAAGACAGTAGTATGCTCTGCCAGTGTTTATATTTAAGAAAATAGCAAAGGCATTGGAAGCCGTTGGCACACTAATACATTTTTCAACCCAAAGAATAGATGTGGTATGCTAACAACCCACAAAGCCCCGTGGAATGCCAATACTCACTCATCTATTTCTGCAGAATTCTGCTCTCTTCCACTAAGGTTGCTGGAGCATTTTCAGTTCTGCTGTCGCTACCTATTCTATTTCACACTGATAAATATAGGTATACTTCATAGATATGTGTCTCACATACTTCCTAGGCATGATCACCTAAAAATATTAATTAGAATTTTAAAACTGCCAAGCTTGCTGCTACTGTATGCATATGAACTTGGCATCCATTCAGTGTTACCAATGAACTTCTTAACTGTAGTTTTTTTCATGGAAAAACATAGTACTGGGAAATGCTCTGCCTGTATCGTTGATGAACAATGTATGCTACCTAATGGCTGGCTGGGCGTGTTGCAAGACACATTAACCCCCACCCCACCCCGAAATTTTATCCATGCAGTGTGGGTAAAATTTTCCTGTGCCAGACGAAGTGTCCCTCCTCTTTTTCCACTTTGTCTTCCTGTGAGGGATGCTGCAGGAGAACCAAGCACTGAGGGAAGCAGGATGTCAATGGCTAAACGGGGTGGGGAGCTGGCGTGCTGGGGAACCTTCTGCCAATGCTGGAGAGAGCCACATTGCCCATAAGCAATCCCACTCTCATCCTGGCACTGCAGGAGCCTGGGGAAAACCCACAGCTTGAGATGCTTGGTGAGAATGGCAGTGAGTTTTATTGTTCTGGCCAAGGGTACAAGCTGGGGGTAAATGGGGAGGGGGGTTAGAAGTGCTGGAATTGGTGTGGAGTTCAGAGGATGTATCCCCCCCCCCCCCCCCAGTGGCTTGTAAGTCATTCAAACCACTTGGTTCAGATGACACGCCACCGCTCATTGTGGCTTCCGTAGCCCATGACAAGCCATGCCACATGGAGGCTACAAATTGAATGCTTAGCCCCTCTTCTGGGGTTGTCATGTTGTGCAAACCCAGCGAGTGTGGGTTTTGCGGGCGTTAAACAATCCTTGCATAGCCCTGAAACACAACATTAGCAGCCCTTATGTAACGCATCAGTGCCAGATTGGAAAGTGTGCATGTTCAAAATATTGGCTGTGTGTTCCTTGAAAACCCCGTAGCCTCACTGAGCTAAACAATCAAGTGCTTTTATGCAGTGCAAAGGGCCCCGCTAGCTCATTCCTTATTTCTGCTCACCTCTCTATGTCACTCCATCTCCAGACAGAGGTTAATAAGCCCCCTGCAATCACATGCTTGCAGATACATTCCTCTTTGGCAGCCCTGGTGAGATTATGTGCTGCACTTTGATTGTAGATAGCCCTGATGCCGAGAAGGCATGAAAAATTGTTCGCACACTCACTATTCGTGTCCCCTCTTCCTTCTGCAGAGGGAGACTTGAACGGCTGACTGTGTAATATAAAGGCCACAGTGTTCTTAGCCAGAAAGCAAATGAATAGTAGTTTGTCCATACGGGTAATTGTGTGTTTAAAATGAAATTTGTGGAAACGTTATGCAAACAGTTACAAAATGAGAACGTGCCACAACTTGTCAAAACCTTTTTATTCAAGCGTTATTTTAAAAATTACTATTTTAATGGTTTCAACAGTCTGTTTTGATTTGATTTATTTTATTGGTTATATATTTTATTATATTGTGATATTGATTGTTTTATTGGACTCTGATTTTAATTGTTGTAAGCTGTCCTGAGATGTTATACATAAAGGACAGCATATAAAAGTTTTAAATAAATAAATAAACATTATACTTTCCATGCATTTAACCATATTGGTTTTGTTTTAATCAATTGTAATTTTAACTGTGCTTGTAAATCTCCTTGAGTAGCATTATTATGGTAGAAAGGCAGGGTACAGATCAGATACATAAGAAGCAATTGCAAATCAGTGCTTAGAAAATTGTGCCTTTGTTTTTGTGTATCCATATTTGTTTTTTTTAAACAATTATGCATTTGTGTTTGTTTTTTAAACAAACCTATGCAGTTTTCAGAATAGCTAAACACTTTCTGATTTGACCAAGCCTGATGCTAAAATCTAAGAAACCCCTGGCACAGCATGATAGGTGTTCTAGTCCTTCAGAATTTAAGGTCTGATTCACAAGTAGACACTCTTGTTCTCTTAGCACAAACTGACAGGGTTTGTACTCTGGAATGCAAGCCGAACTCTATAACAACCTTCCAGGTTTGGTTCTTTGGAAGTTACTCACTGCAAGTGAAGACTAGAAAGAGGAGTGCCTCGATGGTTGAAATCAAAAGCCCTGTATTTGGCTTTAGCGTCTTGGCTAGAATTCAGACTGGGCAGACACTTTTTTTCCACTCCGAGGTGTTTATGGCTGCGTGTAACAAAATATCCAAGGCTGTGAATCATTGATTCCTTCACTACTGATTGTACACACAACTGAACCAAAACCCTTTCAAGACTGTTCCTAGCTCACCTTCTCTGCTGCAGTGTTTGGCCGAAGGATTTATTTATTTTTATTTTTTTGTGGGGGTGGAAGGGATAGACTATATCCCCTAGCAGGGAGGGTCTGTAGCCATATTGTATGAGCTGCTAGGATAGAAATCTGGTTTAGCTAAGAAGCTGCCTATAGAAATTTGTCAGTACAAGAGGCCAACAGCTTTTTATATATGTTTTGTGTTTCAGGGCTATTGCTAAGGCAAAATGTGCATTTTGAGACTGAATTTTCAAACAAAGAGCAGCAATTAATTGCTAGCGTTCCTGAGAGGTTGGGTCCTTTCTGGAAAATATGTTTTAAAGTCCTTACATTTCCTTAAGCAAACTTATAGTAGAAACAATGTGTATCTTCTGTGCTGAGGAAAAGAAGAGTATCAGGTGTCAAAAGATCCTGGAGTTTATGCCCAGTGATGTCCCTGGAGCCTACAAAAATAGAACTCTTGCTGCAAGAATTTGTGCCTGATGTAATCAGTTGGCAAACACTTTGCTAAATATATTTGCAGTGGTTAAGAGATAGCAGCTGAAAGAAACTTGGTAGTCGGAGCCCTTGTGGTTCTATTTTAAATTTATCAGTATTAGTGCTTCCAATGTGTGTGCATGGTTTTTTCCTAACACGAAGTAGCAGTTGAAGAAATGCTGGCTCTTTCATAAGTCAGCCCTCACAGGATTTGGATTCTGTGTCAGAGCAAGCAAATTATGTCAGGTTTGCTTATCTTTGTTCAGCTAATTTGAATATCCTCCCTATTTGTAGATTCCAGCTAGAAGGTTTCTCTAAGCTAAGTCCTGCTAGTCCTTTTAGACTTGTGAGTATGGAAATGCAAATCTTGAGCTTACCAAATCCATCTCATTTTCAACTCTAGTCGGTATCGTGTCGCAAGATTTTTTTTTCTTTTACATGAAAATCCATGCCTGTTTTAATCCATATTTTAGCACCCATCTGTTATGTGCATCTTTAAAATATATGGATTCTTCTCCCTTGAAAAAGGTACACAAAGTACATTTGTGTACCTTTTTCAAAAGTACACATGCTGTTGAATCCACTGCTTTTGATTTCCAAATTTGTGCAAACTTGAAAAAAGCAGGTATTTTGACTGCAGATTATATCCAATTATGTATTCAGTCCCGAAGATACAAGCTGAATAAATCCTGATCAACAATAAGCTGAAACAAATGCTCAGACATTTCTACCTGTGAGTGATACTTGTGTCATCATCTGAGAATTGGGAGCAGGGGTTTCTGTAGTAGATTGGCTACAAATGTTGGTTCTCCTTTTCCCCCTGCTGCTTGATGGAAATGCAGTGAACTGTCAACCGAGAACCTTGTCAAGAACAAGACAGTTATGTGGAAGGGATTGCAGAAGAAAGGTTGTAGGTGAGAAATCGGTTATGCACTCACATACACATACATCAACCAGTCTGGCCACTTCTCCTTGCCACTTTGCATCAGAAGCAACCTTGGGTTTCCGGAACAGTTCCTGCTATACAATGTGTAGACGTGACTGGACCTTTGTGGTCCATCAGACTTGCCTTCCTTCCATTTCTGCTCTGCCGTCTGTGAAATGCTCAGAGCTCTGAAAAGCATGTAGATAAATCTAGACTGGAGTCAACTGATCTTTCAGAAACTGTTTCTGAATAGAGAAAGTTACTTGAGATGGCCATGTTTACGCAGATACATTGCTTTTTATTTAAAGGAAATGACACGTTTCACGTGTCTAGTTTTGTCCATAATTCTTATGATCCATGCAGTGTGATTCTGTGACTGCCTTCTTGGAAGCAAGGCCCATTACAGTCATTGGGTTAAGCCCAGTTACATGTGTTGAGGCTGGACACTTTATTGGGAACTACAGTAATATAGCATTATAAAATTTAACTCCATATTCTTATATATTGAAAGTCCTTAATATTACGGACTGGTAGGCTAGAGGGAAACACCATTTTTCCAGAGTTCTTTAAGGAACACGTGAGAACATTGCTTTTGGTTATATTTATTTATTTATAACATTTATATCCCATCCAATACCAATGTATACTCATCCCAATGTTACCTTTGATAAACCAGTGTTATGGGGGGGGGGACTTTAAGGATTGTTCTGTTTTGCTTTATGCTAACTGTACCAGTATGGTGTAATCATCATCTGAGGCTCTTTTCCAAGTGCCTGCTTTAAAGGAAGCTTGTACAATGGCAGTATGGGAGAGGACCTTGTTGGTGATGGCTCCCTTTGGAGGATATATGGTATATATAAGACAAAGCAAAGTAAATTGGAATGTAAAGGTTGTCCTTTGTAGGTTGATATGGTTCTGCGTATGCAAAAAGGACAAGAACTTTGTCTTGAAAGAGTCACTTAATTTTACTTTCTGTCCTGAACATATCGACTGTTAATATTTGCAGAGTTTGTTTCTTTGCTGCTGTGACATGCTGTAACACAGGAATTGGCGGCCAAAATGACGTGAGAAGCATGCTGTGCACTGGAAGGTGGTTGATGCACAAATAATTTGCTTGTGACTGGGAATTCTAGACCTTAACATTTGCACATTTTCTGTGCAGTCATGTGGGATACTTATCTTTGTCTTTGCAGCTTGTGTAGTACTTCTTTTTCAGGAAAGAGTAGTTTGGCAGACGAAGAATGATAAGCTCCACATCATTTTCCGAGAACCCTAGTGTCACTAGCTCATTTACTTAATATTTATTTATTTATTTGAAACTTTTTTTAGACCGCCCCTTAATGAGGTCTCGGGACAGTTTGTTTGTTTGTTTGTTTGTTTAAAGTTTTTGTATGCTGTCCCCTTGCTATATAGCCTTGTTTAACAGTAAAACTAAAAATAAAATAGAACACAGCATCCTAATCAATTTCTGACAATAATATCCTGGGTGGAATCATCATGATTCTAAAAGAAACTTGGAAATCATGTGATTTGAAATGATGCTGCATTTTAGCAGGCAGCTTGCATTCTTCTAGTAAATTATTAGGGGGATATGGAGCTCTAATTGGTTTGGCTGGTTTCCCTGGAGTAGATGGCCCATTGGATGTGAAACATTAATGAAGATCATTGGCAGATGTTTCAGTCTCTAAGAATATACAATTCTGCCTTTGGCACTGAGCTGCAGAATGATCTAAAGATACTTATTTTCAAACAATGTTCTTGGGGTATATAATCATATAAAATCAGGGACCAGCACTGATGTTCAATAATTCTGATTGTTGGATCCCTTCCTTCCTTCCTTCCGTCCTTCTGTCCTTCCGTCCTTCCTTCCTTCCTTCGAACACCCTGCACCCCCTGGTAGTTGGATAACTCAGACCTTCGCATGCTTCAGAGTGGGTAAAAGTTGAGGGGAACAACTGATGATTAGAAGTGTCTGAACCTGGGAAAAATCATGACAAGGCACTGAATGCTGGAGATTCAAGCAGATTTGGATTAAGCAGGCAGAACATTTGCTGGAATCTAGCTGCAAGCTTTCCTTCTGAGTAATGATTATTGGTGTGTTTAGGGCAGGAAGTTATGCCCAAGGGGAAACTGCTGGCTGGCTCCATAATACGGTGTTGCAGTTCACTTGTAAATTGATGGTCTTCTTTCTTTCCCTTTAGACCTCCTTTTGGATGCCCAATGAGTATCTCCAGTGATGATGTCAGAAACTAAACCAACCATTGTATGTCCGTGCCCATTACAAACTTGTATAATGCAAAGGCTGCAATTCAGCATCCCAAAAACATTGTTTTTAAAACTGTCTAGATGATTGTCGTCGCTTTGGTTGTGTTCTATGCGAGCAGAAGCCTTGTCCAAGGTTTGCGGCTGACCCTTGAACAGCACCTTGCCTGTTTGCTGCAGAACTTAGGGGCTGTCAGTATGGGCAACTCCTGCGTTTGTCGGGAAGACAGTGGCGCCGAAGACAACGCAGAACCCAGGAGTCGCCAGGCAGAGAACAGCCGAGTGCCTGTGCCAGAAACAAGGAGCCATTTGAGGGATCCAGTGCGGCCCCCCCGGCGGGGACGGGGGCCCCACGAACCCAGGAGGAAGAAACACAATGTAGACGGATTAGTACTGGACACATTGGCTGTCATCAGAACACTGGTGGACAAGTAAGTTCTTTCTGATGAGCACTGCTGGCCAGAACGTGTCTTCCTCCTCCAGACTCCTTTGTACAGTCTCGGTCAGCTCTGTGACGTGAGAACAAAGTGTGTTGCAGCGTGTCAAAGACGACCACGTCCATTTTGTCATAAGCTTTCACAGACTATCCCCGCCTGACAAAGGCTTTTTTCTCATCCCCAAAGCCCCCCAAATTGTAACCTTTTTCACAGCAGGGTTGCTTCAGCCTTTGCTCCTTGTGTTTACTCTTTTCTGCACCTTTTCTAGCTCTGTAATATTTTTTTTGACTTGGCCAGAGGAAGAAACTTGGCCGGGGGGTGTGGAGGGTGCTCAGCCTTCCATGTGCCAAGTTGCCCTCCCCAAGCAAACATAAGTTTCTGTGGCCACACGTTTTCATCAGAGATTTGTCAGGCACCTAATCTATTGAGTTTTAGGCACCTGACAAAAACCTAACCTTTCTCTTTGGCCACTCCTGTGGCACTACTTACACTATGGATGGCACTGGTTTTAGTTTTAATTTTATTAATTAATTTTATTAATTTACATTTTCTTGATTGTATATATTGTATCTCATTGTGTGTGTTTATTATAACTTTTAACTATTATTTTATTAATGCTATTATGGATTTTTATTGTAATGGCTGCCCAGAGAACTAATGGAGTGGCTTTTATACAACAACAACAAGAAGATGAGGACGAAGTTGACGTTGTTTCTGGGCAAAATGGAAGGCATATGCCTCTAACTTGTCAGCCATTTGTGGCTTTTCTGGATTGGACTTCAGCTATAAAATGCTTCTCTGGTGCTCTTCTCCGTTGACTAGGGAGAATGACCTTTGCTGCTTTTCTCACACACAACGCACAAAGAGGAAAATCAGTGACTATCCCACTTGTACAGAATAGCAGGTGCAGCTTCCCCCAGAAAATACATTTTCTTAGTATCCTTGGGTAAACTGCAGTAGCAGGTCAACCCACTTGAATCTTGTGCTTAGAGGACCTCAAAGTAGAGTTCAGATTATCCTTTTTTGTCTGCACAGCAGTCCTGTGAGGTGGGCTATGCTGTGCCTCCTCTCAGGCCTTTCAATGTGTGTTGTGACTGAGCAGGGTTTTGCGCACCATCCTCCCTGTGGAGCTTTCTGTAAAACACACACATTATGTCCGTTGGCTGCAGGAGGCTCAGTATTGTTAACCGCTGAATTATATGTGAAATGGAAAGTTTTATGATTTCCCTCAACACAACCCTCCAAGGCTGCAAAAGGACACGTATCGTGAAGGCATTGAGCATCTTGTGTTTTCTTCCTTCTCTGCCCTCTATCATTCAGTACTTCCAAACATCCTATACCCATGGAGGGTGACGTCTATTGTCCTTTGATTGTGATTTACTTATTGCTTATTCAAAGCATTTTTATTCCTCTCTTCAGTCAAAAGGCTCCCAGAGAAGTTCACAAGAATCGATAATTAGACAGTGCCTGCTCTCAGACGTAGAGTCTAAAAAGGCACAAGGCAAGGGATTGGGCGGGAGGAGGAGTAAAGCTTGAATTGTGGTGCCCAGATGGATCTCAATATACATATTCTGGAATCAGTTGCACTCAGGTTTGCACTACATCTATCATCCTTTGAGACTGGCCTGTTCCTCTTCCCCCCCCCCCCCCCTTCTGCAGTTTCTCTTCTTTTGCGTTTGTACTTAATGTAAGTTGATGTGTAACAGGCCACCCTAAGCAAGGCAGTTTATCTTTTGCTTTGCACAGAGAATTGCTGTCTTTCTTGCTTCATTGATGGCAGTGCTTTCTGGATTTTAGCCTGTGAGCATAGACCTCCATTTCTGTCCAAGCACCATGGAAATACTTAGAACATTCTGCATTCGTGCGGTCAGTTTCGTTTTCCTTTGCATTCGGTCTGCTGTGAAGCACTCCGCAGCAGTGAAGATGTTAGGGGATGCTTGTCCATGGAAGCATATTATACCAGCTGCCTGTTTGTGTCCTGGGGCAAAATGTTAGCAGTGACCTTTGAAGCCCCACATTACTTGCACCCAGGGGACCTAAAAAATGATCCCTTCCCATCGATCCTTGTCCACTGTCTGAGTTCTGCAATCTGAGGCTGAATTGGCTGCAATGCAGGAGAGGGGTTTCTCCATAGCCACACATGGGTTGTGGTGCTCCCCTGGGGAACTGCCCTTGACCCCAGTTCTGTGTTCTTTCTTCTCGCTTCTAGCCAAGACATATTCCAGCAGATGTGTGGCTTGCCAAGTCGACGCGCTTAATCTCAGATCCTCATACTTTTTAGATGGTTTTATCTGTGGCACCCATCTCTGTTCCGGAATGTTGCGGCATTGTAAGCTATCCTGAATGCTGCATATCCCATAAATAGGTGGATTTTAATTCTCTGAGAGCAAGTGGAAAGCCCCTGGCCAGAAGGCAGCCTAAACATTTCTTAACGAAATGGGACAAATAAAAGCTTCTGCTTATTGAATTCTGGTGTTCAGGGCTGATTGCAACAGTGCTCTAGCGCATGCCTGCCATGTGCAATAAGAGATTTTTCATGCCATGTCAGGTGCTTTGTTGTCATTTTCACTCCAGCAGGCCAGACCATCACAATACTTCTGTCCCCTCCACATTGTATAAAATTCCCTTTGTAATTTGGCAGAGGACGGGTAATCTATCTTTCTTTCCTTCTTTCTGTCCTTCCGGAACTTCTAGGCCGCCCCATTCGCCAAAGCCTCGGGGTGGCTCACAAATGCCACAGTATTTACAGATGTAAGGACTGTAGAAGGCTTTAAGGCACACCTTACATTCTCTGCCGGCCCCTCTGAACTATCTTCCAGTGTGCCACTTCTCTACAAAAAACAGATGGCTCTGCTTTTCGTTTTGGTGTAGAGGTCAATCCAGCTGCTTCTTGAAAAGCTACACATTCTAAACCAAAAATAATCCCAAGCTGATAGCGATACTACACCAGGCATTCATACCAGTAACAGTCTATCTCTTCAGGTACATTCTTCTGTGCTTGCAGATCTGTGATTGTTAGTCCCTTGGTCCAGTATAACTTCAGCTCCAGGCAGCATAGCCAACAGTCAGGAATGCAGGGAGCTTCAATCCAAAATGTTACGGGAGGCTGAGCTATTCTGTGCCACTCATTGAAACAGCCCTGTGTCTGGCAGCTTCTTTAGGAAGGGAGGGACAGGCAAACCCCATTGTTGCTGCCTGATAAAGGGGTGGGGGTTGTGGGTGGCAGCAAAAAAACGGGGGGGGTGTAATCAGGACTGACCCTGGGTGTGGTTGGAAATAATGCAGTGGACTAGGAAGCCAGGAGACCTGGGTTACGGAGAGCAGTGGGGGTGATTAAAGAGGCAACTGGTAAACCAGGGGAGGGGGCTAAGTAACTCCATAGGGTTGTCCCATGGATTAAAGTGGACTGCATGCTTTTTTAGCCCTTTGGAGGAAGGGTGGGATAAAAATTCTGATAGGCAGATGGATACTATGGAGAATGAATACTTTCTGTGGTAGATGTGGGACTTTGCTAGCGGTAGCACACTTACGTATCCAGATTGTTGATTATCTGTCCAGTATGTACTGGTAGATTGATTTATCACTTCTCTTTTTTCTTGTTCTGTTCTCCTCAGTGATCAGGAACCTCCTTATTCAATGATGACTTTGCATGAAATGGCTGAAACAGGTATCTTCATACTCTTGTGTGGCATTCCACTTATGATACGATGAGAAACCAGTTAGCTCTGAAAAGCCGTTTAAAGTTGCATGGCATGTTTCTTTCCTGGGGTTCAGGCAATTTACAGTAATTGCCTACGAATATCACTCTTTGACAATGAGCTTGGTAAAATGTTAATTGCTTTAATATGTGTACCTGCCTAACCTGGCAAAATTTATGAGATATGCTGTTGCGAAACCAGGCTGCCAGCTCCTACTAGGCTCAGGCTAAACAGCTTATTTGGGTTTTACAATGAACCATTGAATAGGCTTTGGAATAGCTAAGGGAACAGCTATGCACTTTGCCATCAAATTAAGGGGAAATTATAATTAAAGACCAATGTGTCTTGAAGCAGAATAGAGGAGTGCCCCAAACAGCCTGGTTTGCATGACCACTGTGGTTTAAACAAGCCACAAGAGCTAATTTAAGCAGGTCGAAGGCATCGTTTGGCTAATCACCTACCCAAGTATAGCTTGCCACATCACTAGAAGCTGAACAGCATAGCTTGTTGGAGGGGAAAACAACCAAGAAGTAGCTATGAATGGTTTGAGGGTCATTTGCCCTCCAACAAGCAGTGCTGCCTGGTTTCAGATAAGACAGCAAGCTGTGTGCAGGTGTGTAATTTGGAAAAGTTGCAGTGGTCATCCAGTTGAGGCCGACGTATCTGCCTTGAGACTCTTCCAAGTCTGCTTCTACCTGTTAAACACTGGACTCCTTAGAAGAACTAGAAAGCTCCAAATAGGAGAGTTCTGAAGGACATAATCTAAGAGTGACTTGGGGGTGGCAGGTAACCTGGTGCCCTCCAGATATTTTGGATTACAGCTCCCATCAGCCCAAGCCAATGGGTGCTAGTTGCCACTCCATCCGGAAGCTCACCAGGTGACTTTGGGCCAGTCACAGACTCTCAGACTAACCAGTCTTACAGGGAGGTTGTGGTGAGAATACAATGGGGAGGAAAAACGTGTTAGCTTGTCTCAGTGAATAACCATCTGCCCCATCTCCAGGAGCTGCTTTTTCCTACAACCATGGCATTTAACATCTTAGAATATGGCTGAAATGAGATGTAGCAAAGGATGGTTAAAATGCTACTGCCGTCATACTTGCGATCAGTTTTTATGATGACTGTCTCCATCTCTGGTTGCGTCTCTGAGATAGTTGCTTCTGTTCTGTGGTTGACAGATGAAGGCTGGCTGGAAGTTGTCCAATCCTTAATTAGAGTTATTCCATTAGAAGATCCCCTGGGGCCAGCTGTTATAACTTTACTACTGGATGAGTGCCCATTGCCAACAAAAGTAAGCCAAGTAAATACATTGTAATTGGTGGTCTAATGTCAACAGCATTTAGCAGCCTCAGATATAGACACTTCTTTAACATTGCAGATAGCACAAATGAGTCATGATGTCTGTATCAATGTTGCTTCAGCAGAGCAGATGTATGTGAATCTTGCATCAACTTAATGTCCAAGATAAAAGGTTCAGAGCAAAGCTGAAAATCATTGAACAAAAAGCTTTCCTGATAAAATTGAAGCCACATTTATCATCATTCCTCCTAATTATGCTCTCTTTCTTTCCCTTCCTCTCCTCCCCTTGCTATGTAAAGAAGATAAAAATTATTATATTTCTTTTATTTACATAGAATTTTAAAAAAAACTTTAAAGAATTATCCTGCTAATTTAGCACTAGTTTATCTGCAGGCTGTAAGTCTTTGATTGATGTCTTCTGAAATCATGTGGACTTTGCCATTTTGCAGTGGTGTTTATTTTTACAAATTTTGTATATTGTCAATATAGACTTTATGCCCATAAACAGTGTCCATATTAATTGTGAAACATATTTCATACCATGACAGTGGGAATCAATGAGAATTCTTTCCTGCAATATGCGTAGTTTAACCAACTATTAATGGGTTAAACGTGACACCAAAAAGTGGTATTAAAAAAAACCCTGCCTCTCTATTGAACTCAAATGTTAAACAGATTCTAAAAAACGTATGCAGAACCTCCCGAATGATCATGTTTCTCAGCATGCTTGCATCTTACAAGATGAAAAACCTGGGTCATTTCCACATGTTGATCAAACTTGGGTTCATTGAAATTAAGAGCACTTAGTCATGACTAACAGGTTCCATTCCTTGATAGGTTCTCTCTAAGTAGGATTACACTGGATACGACTCCAGGTGTGCTTATCCAAAGGAATTGCTGCGGAATTTGAAGGCCTTGTGTCTGCTCATAAATTGGTGATAGACATCTGCTTAAGCATGCTGCAGGAGGTTTACGTCAGTTACATAGCAATAGAAATCCAGTTCTTTTGCTTAGCTTTCAGTATCCAAAGCCATGGTGACATTTCTGTGAGTGGGACTCGGCGCAAAGCAGCATCCGTGCCGGGATGCTGGGAAGGGATAAGTGTCCCTCATGCTTGCGATCATCTTTTTAGTAAATCCCTTAAAAAGTTACTTTCTAAAAGAGTAACATTCCTGAAACATCCTTTGCTGAGCATCTTCCCATCCAAGAATTGTAGTATGAATTCCTTAGTTGCTCATTCCAGATTTCAATAGCATAGCTCCAAACCAGGGTCACTCTTTACAGTGAATGGTGCTTTGCTTTGCACCTGGCTATTTTTTCATGGCACAGATAGGGAACTACAGCCAGTAGCCTGGAATTGTGTGAGTCTGGAATTATTTCCTGACTTCTTTAAAATCTTGTGACCACAAGTGAAATGTTTCTGGCTCTCAAAGTTCACTGGATACATATTGATGCTTAATGCAGATAGCATTAAGCCACACGGGCACCTGGTTTATTTTTTCCAGCAGTTAGAATTGTAATTACCTGAAACAACACATTATGTAAATTCTAATTGGAATATATTGGAGATGAGCCCATGATTCTGCATTGGGATGAGCAGATGTCTCCTGACGTTCTGCCATTCAGTAGCACGTTCTTTTTTATTTTTAGGATGCGCTGCAGAAGTTGACAGAAATACTAAGTTTAAATGGAGCTGTTGCTCGCCAGGATGCCTGTCATCCTGCAAAACATCGGAACACAACCGCAGTACTGGGCTGCTTGGCAGAAAAACTTGCAGGTAAGAGGTGCTCGTAAATATTTGTGTAATTGCAAGAGCTGTCAGCTCAGCCCCTCTTCTGTTCACTTCTGCCTCTGCTTGCTGCCTTCCCTCTGGCCTCTCCTCAGTCCACAGTAGTAAATATATTGCATGGGATTAGCCATCATATGTCTCAGTGTGTAAAGCTCCAATACGTTTCTGCACAGAAGTAACTTGTAAAAATATGCGCATGTGTATGCTGGGATGACTGGGAGGGAGAGGTTCTCCTATGAAAGTTGTGCCAGGTTGTGCCATCTGCTGGACTGTTTGACTGTCATGGAGAGTAACTTGGCTGTACACACTTGGCCCTTCTGCTGCCCTTTCCCGTAAAAGGTGCGTTCTTCCCCTCTGAGGATTCTCTCTGGATGCTCTCTCTTCACTAGAACAATAGATAGCTGCCCGAGCTAACCAAGATCTGCATCCAGTACGCCCGAGACTGACAGAGTGCTTCTAACAGTATGGCATCAGCAATTACTTTCATGCCATGTTGGCAGCTGCCCTGTGGAATCTAACTTTTTGGCCCCCTCTTAAGCGTTTGAGAACAACTGGCATGTAATTTCCTCCCATAAAGCAAGGCAGCAGGGCAATCAGTGTAGTACAGGTGGCTCTTTGAAAGTGGCTTTTAAAGAAAGTGGTGCAGCAGCTTCGATGCATGTGTTTCATTTTTAGTCTTCTTACAGGCCCTGCAAGTGTAGGTTTACTCAGCCAAGGAATCTTGGAGTACTTGCTGCAGAGCTTGGTGAGTATCAAAATAAATCAGTATTCTGAGCTGTTCCTTTTAAAACGGTTTTGCTTTTCTGTGTCAGTATCAGAGGGCGGAGTGTTCCTTGATTTCATTCTGCTATGACTCAGTAGGAAAGGGCTGACAATGCAGGGTCAAACCTCTGTTGTTTTTCAGTGCCAGGACGTGAGTTAAAGAAATGCACAGAAATAGGGGGAGGTCCGTAGCTCTCAGGTGGAACAGATGACCTTTCACCCAGACACCTTCATGTTGCATGCAGTTACACATTTACCAGTCTCTTTATTTTTTCAAAATACTCAAAAGTGTACCATCCAAAAACTAGTGTAATTTTTATTTTATTATTTTTTTATTTGGGAATCTTGTATGCCGTCCCATTGGCATAAGCCTCGGGGCAGCTTCCAATCAAATAAATAACAATATACAAAAATATACAGAATCGGAAACATCCTGGAGGTAGATAAAAGCAATAAATAATTTAACAATCGATTAAAATAACATTTAAATAAAAAGGTCTTGGCCTGGCGCCGAAAAACAAATAACGACGGCGCCAGGCAGACTTCTCTGGGGAGCGCATTCCATAAGTAATAGGACCAACATTGTAAAACCATTACATTTTTTTGTAAAAAAAAGAGATTGGGGGGGGGGGGAGCTAGTAGCAGATGGGACATTTAATTTTGTGGGAAAATCTTTGAAAATGAAAAAAAGATGCTTCTGCAAACTAAAGAGAGTTTATAGATTAGCAAACGTCCCAGGCAGGAAATCCAACTGGTAGAACCTTAGCATTTGCCCCCTGTAGTTCTCATTCTCTGAAAGTAATAAGCAGGACCGCCCCTGCTGATCTTAACAGCTGGTCAAACATCTCTGCATCTTGAACATCTCATCTGCTCGGATTCTCCAAATCTTGTTTTGCTGCTTGCCTTGCACCCAGTTCTCATTAGCATTTACAGCTGCTGCTTGTTCTGGGCAAATGGGAGATTTGTGCAGTCTGAGCAGTAATGGAACTGGAAATTTGCTCTGAATTTTGTGAAAGACTAAAGCTGGGCTGAGTCACTCCACTGAGGGAATTTGCATGAATCAGCCTGGGAGTCAGAAACAAGACATGCATGAAAGTTGGACAATTTAAATAATATCAGTGAATGTGTGCTTACCCCCGTGATTTCAAATGGAGCATGGTTGTGTGTTCTGCCCCATTTGAAACCACGAGAGAAATATTTGAATCCTTAAATATGCCTAATCTTGTCCCGTCTCTGGCTTGGTTCAGATAGCACCACGCAATTCTCTTGAACCAAGGTTGGAAGGGGCTAATTTGCTAAGATAGATGAATTTCTCTCCAGAACAGCTTGGTTTTCCTTATAGGAAATTCTTGCTCCGAGTGTTGGTGCATGGATTTCTGAAATAAACCTTCTCCTTAGATTACATGTGATGTGTTTAAAAAAAAGTGTTGTGGTAATGCAAATGCCCCCCCCCCTCAAATGTCGGTCAGATCAGCGAAAGTTTGTTGATTTGAAGGCAGCTTAGGGAGAACATTGGATCCACTAATTCTCTTTTTTATCTTAGGAGTTTCAGTCCCACCCAACAGTAATGCTTTTTGCACTAATAGCACTGGAAAAGTTTGCACAAACAAGTAAGTAATTGTTTTACCATGTGAGTTGTCTTGATTGCTTTACCATTTTATTGTTTAAAATTGTTCTACTTTGCCTGGCTAGCTTTACACAGATGAAGCATTCTCATTGCATGTCCCAACTCTAGGTGAAAATAAAATGACAGTTTCTGATACGTGCATCAGTGACCAACTTGTCTTGTTAGAGAAATGGACTGATAACCCGGACTACTTAAAACGCCAAGTAGGATTCTGTGCCCAGTGGAGTTTAGACAATCTATGTAAGTAAGCCTCTGTTGTTTTTGCCTTAGTTAAGTGCCTGTTTTTCCCCCCAAAATGTCATGTTTTATTTGGCTTTTGAGCAAACATTTAACGATGCAGCATGTATTGCGTCACAGGTATGGTAGCTTTCAGATTTCTAGGCTGCTAGGAGAGAGCTAATGTGTCACACACCTAGGTCTGTAGTCGGTGTCTCTGCCTATTCCACTGCTGAAGTGGGACCACTGAGCTTAGAGGCAGCATTGCTCAGATGGGGCAGGTCATCTGACACCCGCCATATGCTCAGAGACCCCAGAGAAAGTTGCGTCTGGTCTCACTTCTCAGTGTTTCAGTTTCCTTTTGTCCCTGTGTGCATCGGCTCTGAGACCACCAAACAAGGAGTGAGAAGGAGGCAAGCGAGTTACTCATCTTGTGTAGATGCAACTTGCTGTGGGAATATGTGACCCAAACAGTCATCCTGCCTAGCATTGTTGAAAAGTGCACTCCTGTGCCAAGCAAGAGGGAAGGAAATGGGCTCGTGGGAACATTATTCATGCTGCTAGTCAGATCTTTCATTGGCTTTATTTTGCCGTCCCTTTAGAAGGGTAATCGTCAGTGTGAGACTGTAGCCCAGTTCTCCAGGTGAATTGTCTAGTTAGGCAACTTACTAACTTATAGTGCCCAGGTGGGCATTGCAGATGTTATCAGGTGTGGTGCGGGAGCATTCACGGAAAGTGGCAACCATATTGCTGTAGAAGCAAGATGGCAGCATGTTCTCCCAACACTTGAATCGTCTTTGCATCACTGCTTACTGTGAGTCAAGCATCTAGCCTTTGAGGAGAATTTGGATGCTGCGTAACACCTTAAGGCCGAAGAGGCCATCGAAAGGGGGAAACCATGCTCCTTTTTCTTAGAGATGAACCCTTTGGCTTCAAACGCAGCAGCCCTGATCAGAGTAGATCTTCAAGAACATACAAACACACATGCTTTGGCTTCCAGTAATTTTCTGGGTGCCAATTAAAGGGCTAGTTTTAATTTTGTAAGCCCGAAACGGCAGGATTATGAACCATCCTGGGCACTCTGCCTCTGGCATGAATCTTCCTGTGGAGCCCTGCTCTTCAAGGCAGCTCGATCTGATGTCATCTTGACTGGTACAAGGAGCAGGACTTTTGACATGATGGAATGTAATGCTTTCCTCCAGGAAACTTAAGCAGCACGAGTCAGTGGTGCTTTTGCAGAGGTCTGTGAAGCTTTCCTCTGTTTCACTGGGGTTCACGGTTTCCACTGCCTCCTCTTACTGAGGTTGCACTGGTGTGCTCCAGTTGTGTATTTTTCCTGAAACAGAAATTTATTGCTTGTGGTATGCTTTTCTGATGGTGTAATATCCCACTGATTGGTCATCTTCCGTGGCATTAGCCACCCTGGGGATGGGGCAGTATCTCATTGTAGCATTGCAATGAATGAATGAATGAATGAATGAATGGAAACCTGTGGGCAGTGTCTCAGAGTGAGGCTATCTTCCGCAGCCTCCTGCTTTCCAGGTGTATTTGGCTGCAGTTCTCATAATCTCCCAGCTAGCTCTCCTGGGCCTTGTACCCCGCAAATCCTGTTGGGGAAATCTGCGGCAGAGCGTAGTCCTTTTACTGAAGAGGCGTATAATTTAGCATAGGTTCCCAGTGACGAGGTTTGAATAAGCACAGGGAAAAGAAACAGCGATGCGTGCCTTTTCCCCCGTCCCCATGCACATACCAGTTACGATCCGTGCCGCGCTACACAGCAGGGACGGTTTCAGAGTCACTCCCACCACACACCTTGCCATAGTTTTGAAGCCATGTGCCATGAAGAAAATTGGTGGCTGAGGCAGGAGAAAGAAGCCACCAGGGCTTCTTTTCCCAATGAGTGTCCAAGCCTGATCAGCAGCTACCTATTTGTCCTCCTGCATACCTCTCGCCCCTCCTGGGTATTCTGAAAATTAAACGGTGCCATCTATAAAACTTCCCATTTGCAGTGTACAACATCTAGTCTGAAAATGGAGTGCAGCCATGGCTTTTGCTAACTTTTGTATAACTTCTAATGTTTTATTCAGATTGGAACATTTAAAACGTGAGATTCCCGAGCTCAGGACTTTTTAAATGGTTAAATACCAGGCTCTTTGCCCAGCAGGGCTTACTGGGCGGCAGTGAGCAAGGCTTCTTTTCCAGTCAACCCCTTTGCTCCCCCTGTTCAACCCTCCCCTTGAACTGAATGACACAAATAGAAAAGCATGTGACATGGCACTCAGTCTTTAGATGCTTCCTTTGAAATTTGCATAGCACTGTTTTGAGTGCTGGTGCAGTGGCCTTCAGTGTGTGGATAATATTTAATAATAAATCACTGTACAGATGTTGCAAAGGAGACAAAGCCTCCCCAGAGCTGTCTGAGGATGCTTTTGCATTTCACTTCTTTAGTGTGTACACCAAGAGAGGTTTGTCGTGTTCCTGTGGTACCGAGCCTACCTCCTTTGCATTTGCATTCCTTGCTAAATTCCAGCTAGCAAGAACCTACAAGGGATTGCTGCAGCCTGTCAGCTGGAGGACAGCTGGGCTAAAGTCCCTGGAGGAATGCCAGCACCTGTAGCATCGCTAGTCTCTGTCACTTCTCTTCTCTCAAAGTTCAGGTATAGTTTGGAGGGGTGCAGAGCGTTGACTGTATACCTTGCTCAGCCTATTGCCACCCAGCTGTGTTGGACCATTCCTCCCATCCTCAGTGAGCATGGCCAGTGCTGACTGGGAATGATAGGGGTTACAGTCTAGCACAGCCTTCCCCCACCTAGGGGCTTTCAGAGGCATCTGGACCACAACTCCCAGAATTCCCATCCAGCAGGGCCATTGCCTGGGAATTCTGGGTGTTGTGGTCCAAACATGTCTGGAAGGGACAAGGCTGGGGAAGGCTAGTCTAAGGAGGGCCACGATTGGACATGGTTCTCTGCATAAACAACAGACGTTTATCCCCCCCGGGGGAGGCAGCTTTTGGCCCTGCAGAGTTTTGGGCCTGCTGCTCCCATCACACCTTACCATTGGCCATGCTGGCTAAGGCCGAGGGACACTGAAGGTGAAAACATCTGGGGGGCCACCGTTGCACACTGCTGGATTGCCAGTTCTTGCATTCTACATCATAGCAGATTATACTTGTTAAATGCATCCCCCTTTTTTTTCAGTTTTGAAGGAAGGCAGACAGTTTACATATGAGAAGGTTGACTTGACTAACATTAAGGCCATGTTGAATAGTAATGATGTCAGTGAATACCTTAAGATCTCACCGCATGGGCTGGAGGTATGTTTTTGTGTGTGTGTATTTTTAATCCTAAAATAGTATTGTGCGCTTTTCATTTCCCTCAACAGCAATAGCACTGTCTGGCTTTGATTTCTTTCAGAGGAAAGGGCTCCGTGTACTTTTATAACTTTGCAATTTGTATAGTCGTAACTCAGGCCAAGCTGATTTTCACATGATTTGTTTAATAAAGGAATATTTGGAAATGGCAAAGGTGAAGGATATGAATTAGGGATTTTAATAGGGTTCTTAAAAATATGATTGTCAGATCTGAAGAGGCACAGATAAAATCCCCTCCTTTAGAGGTCAAGAAGGGGATTATTAAACATGTCAAGATGCATGCAAACAACTGAGAGGTTTGTCTTGCTCAGCTTCATTGGATGACTCCACTGGGTCTGATATTATTAGAGAGGAATTAAAACATCTCTCACTCTGTGATCTGCACATTTTGAATAGCTGTAAGCATCCATATCATGCCCCCCTTACTTGCCTTCATTCATTTGTTAATTTGCTTAATCTAGAAAGCCCCAAGCTAGTACTGTATCTGCAAATATAAAAGCCAAGCATGGGGGGGGGGGGTCCAGTGGGCCCTCCTCCAAGGCACCCCAGTTTCCAACTCTGTTTATTGCTTAAAATGGTGTTTCTCATAAAGCATTCACCTGTTACTGGAAAGTGATGTTTTTCTCACAGACTCCCCATGGCAAAACAGCACTAATGCTCCGTTACCGTAATCAATTATGGCTTATGTTTATTCCCGACGAACCAGAGTTCTTAAGCCTGGGCCCTCAGACCTCTTTCCATTCAAGCACCAAATTCAATGCCAGAAGCAATATTGGGGGCATGACACTGAGAAGGCCTGCTTCTTGGCAAGTTCATGGTGAATGTCTCTCTCACCATTCGAAGATGAGCAGGTAAAATGAGCAGGGCAAGCAGCCCTTCAGGTATTTGGGGCTGCAGACCATTTAGGGCTTTGGTGTAGCATAGGGAGCAAATTTCATTCTTTCAGAATTGGTGTAACATGGTTGCATTGAGGTGAATCAATCAAAAGCCTGGCTGCTGGGTTTTGAAGAAGTTGAATCTCCCAAACTATGCCTATTATATTGTATAGCATTTATATATTTCAATAAGACGATAATAAAGGGGGGAAACAGTAATCAAAAAGTATCTAGATCAGCGTTCCCCCAGCCTGGTGCTTTCCAGATGTTCTGGGCTACAACTCCCATCAGCTCTAGCCAGCATGTTCTAGTCCAACATAGCTAGACTGCGAAAGGTTGATTTAGAGCTCTTCTACATAATTTTATTCCGTGGCAGAATTCACGCTTCTCTAGGCACAGAAGTCAGTTTACACATATTATTATTATTATTATTATTACTATTATTATTATTATTATAACATTTCTATGCCGCCCCTTGCCGAAACCTCGGGGCAGCTTACAACACGATAAAATACAATGAAATACAATAGCACATAATAAATTACCATTAAATACAAAATACAAAAAATACATTGGTTTACAAATATAAGATTAAAATTATCAGTATAAATTAAGTAAATAAAAATATAGGAGGAGAAAGAGAAGGAAGAAGAAGTTGCCCTGGCCAGATCATATGTTTTAACAATTAAAATGATGTTTAAATAAAAAGGTCTTTACCTGGCGCTGAAAAACCAGTAACGACGGTGCCAGGCGGACCTCTTTGGGGAGTGAATGCTATAGGTTGGTAACCCTGAAATTAGTAAACTATGTGTAAACCCTGCATGAGGTTTACACATAGTAGCTCGCTCCATCAACAGAATTTGAGAGCATACAAGATTCAGTTGCTCCAGTAGCGTGTTAAACATAAAATAGCAACAGTTAATTCTGCTCACCAGCTCCACAGTGTTCCTGATAATGCCCGTGTGTGCTTAACCCTGCCCTCCTGCAGTGCCGAGTCCTTCTCATCCCTGCTGGGTGCATGATTGTATTTCACTTTTTGTTTGCCAGGCTCGATGCGACGCCTCATCTTTTGAAAGTGTCCGATGTACCTTCTGTGTAGATTCTGGAGTTTGGTATTATGAAGTCACGGTCATTACTTCTGGAGTGATGCAGATTGGATGGGCTACCAAAGACAGCAAGTTTCTCAATCATGTAAGTGACTTTCCCATTGGAACCTGCCTGTCGAATATAATTGTGGGAGGGTCTCCTCTGGCATTCTCCACTATGAGACCAAGCCGTAGCTGAGAGCCAGCGTGTCTCTGCGGCACCTGCTCGTGCAATCACTTGACCTGGAAACGGCTCTCTGGCCCCTGCTCTTCCACATTCTTAGTAGAGACCAAGGGAGAACGCCCTCTGTGGAGTCTTCCTCAGACCAGTGGTGGTGAAGTGTCTTTGCAGGGGGAGCAGTAGCCCAGTTTCCAGCAGCTCCTCAGGCCATACGTAACGGTGAGATTTACCCTGCATTTTAATCCCCACTGATCTCTCAAGCTCACAGAGTGGCATTGAATGATTCAAAAACAACACAAGCCTTGTGGCATCTTAGATTAGCAAAGTGTAATCTTTGGCAGGGCTTAGATGTGTGAAATGTGAAATCTTCATCAGATGTGTGAAATGCTATGGATAGTTTCAGGTTTCTGTGCAATGCATATGGCAGTATTGCAAGCATTTGTGTTGTCTGGACCTAATTCCAGAGTTCCTGGGTGACAGCATTAGTTTTTTGAAACTACAGAGAGAATCAACAGTCTTTTCTCAGCTTTCCATGCTCCACTAGGGCTTTGCTAGTAGTCTTGGATGCATTACTACTACTGGTACAGAAACACCATAGACTCCTCTGGCAAGAGCGGCCCTGAAAGGGGCATTATAGCCTTTGCTCTCCACTGCCCGGAGCTCCCTACCAATAAACATGTAATTGTTCACTTTATCCCCATTGGCCAAGTGATGTGTCAATCTTTGGGAAACAGGGAGAGCGCACAAAAATACACAGAGGGAGAGGGGAAGAACCATGGCCATGCTGTTTATTTCCATTGAATAGCAATCTCAGTGGGGACTGGAGCAGCTGGGAAGCACTGCAGCTGTTCAGATACACCTGGGAGGGAGAAAAGGAGATCCACCTCAGGTCTGCAGTGGACCACTTAGGAGCAGGCCACAGCAGTCCATCGGGAAGGAACAGGGTTTTTGCTCATGGGGGCCTCCGTGATGTATGGTCAGCCTGGGAAGACAGAAGCTGCATTTCTGGGTTGCCTTGTTTGTTTTCTATACTGCCTAATAGCTGGAGCAGTGTGCAACAACACAAACTACAACATAAAGTACAAACAACATTAACACATCATAAAAAAGTTATCATTCAACATTTTAAACCAAATTATATTGCAGATAGAAAAGTTACAGTAGCTTATATGAATTAATCAGTCACCTGTTTAAGTGGCTAACTTTGGGGCTTTGCCCCAAAAAATAAATTAAATGCCCTGCAATAAAGGACAGCCTTAACCTGGCAGCAAAAGGCTGCTGAGGTTGGTTCCAGACAGATGTTAGTGGGGAGGCCACCACTGAAAAGGCCCTTAACCTTGTGACCACCAAGCAATCATCTGACCAGTACATTTAGGGGAAAATCGTTGTGCTGTGAAAGCAGGGCAAAGCTGTTTCCATGTCATGTGAACTCAGCCAGTATATGAAACAAACAGGAGTTCCCAATTTTTTAACCAAGGTTAAGATAGCAGAAAACATGAGAAAGAGAGAGCAAAAGTTAACAAACTTGAGGGTGGAAGTTTAAATCCAAAACGGAGCAGGTTCCCAATTCCTAGTGTCCTAGCTTGAGGGCAAGAAAGGTGTAAAGTAAAACTTCTGCCTCTGGTTCTATTGGAGGTCAGGTCCATATTGAGGGGACCAAACAGAATCCAAGCTTCACACTAAAGGTTTGAGAGGGTGAAGGGTAAGGAAGGCTGCCTTGTGAACAGGACTATGGACAGATCGGGGTGCTTGGCATAGAACTGGGCCTTTCTAGTGTGATTTGGGGTCATACCTCAGGGGTCTCCATAGAGATAGCAAGTTTAGAGATAGCAAGTTTAGACCTGCATTCAGTTTCTAACTTTGAGCTAACTCCTCTTCTGCTTCTTAAAAAGGGAACATATATTGGTAGGAACTTATGTCTCTAGATGCTTTGTCCTGCTTTTCGGGACAGACTCCTGCTAGTTCCGTCCTGTCCCAAAAATTAAATGCTACTTTCTGTTTTTTCTGAAGGAAGGTTATGGTATCGGGGACGATGAATACTCTTGTGCGTATGATGGCTGCCGGCAGCTGATCTGGTATAATGCCAGAAGTAAACCACATTCCCACCCATGCTGGAAGGAAGGTACTCCTCTTGCCTTGTTACATGAGTTCTTGCTTTTGGCCTTTGCTGAGTAATTATTCTGGGAGTCTTCCAAGAGCTCCTTTATGAATCCATTTAGCATCTGCTAGCAGCATCCTTTTGGTACAGTCCATGGGGTTTTCATGGCAAAGATACTGGAGTGGGTTGCCATTTCCTTCTCCCTGCCAACAAAAGTGCATATAGTCAAGGCTGTGGTTTTCCCAGTTGCAATGTATGGCTGTGAAAGCTGGACCATAAGGAAGGCTGAGTGCCGAAGGATTGAGGCCTTTGAATTGTGGTGCTGGAGGAGACTCCTGCGAGTCCCTTGGACCGCAAGGCGATCGAACTGGTCAGTCCTAGAGGAGATCAACCCCGACTGCTCTTTAGAAGGCCACATACTAAAGATGAAACTCAAACACTTTGGCCACCTAATGAGAAGGAAGGACTCCCTGGAGAAGAGCCTAATGCTGGGAACAATAGATGGCAAAAGGAGAAGGGGACAGCAGAGGATGAGGTGGCTGGATGGAGTCACTGGGGTGTGAGCTTGAGTGGACTCCGGGGATGGTGGAGGACCGGAAGGCCTGGAGGAGTGGTGTCCATGGGGTCGCGATGGGTTGGACATGTCTTTGCAACTAACAACAACAACAACAAGCAGCATCCTAGCATCCTAGAGCCCTCCTGAACGGTATCTTACCATTAAAGATATTCCCTCTCGAGTTGCCAAATCCAGCGGCATGGTTACAACAGCACCTTGCTTCTGTCCCTAAAGGGGCTCTGTTCAACAGTCCCCTGTCAGTGGAATTGTCACTCCATCGATTCCTGGTAGCATGACTAAAAAGGAGAGCAGTATTTTTTCTTCCCAGGCATTAATGTAATCAGTTCGCTGCAGTTTTCTAAATACTTAGGCTTGTGCAAGTGCTGAAAATGGCTTGGGGAAGCTGCAGCTCTGGCTCCCTGGAAATGGAACTCCCTGCCCATAGTTTCTTGTCACAGATGTAACACCCCAGTTGCTGCCAACCCAGATTCTGATCACAACCAGGTTTCAGAGCCGATTTGCAAGCTTTCATTAAGGCGGCGCCATGGTTAATGTTGGTGTGGATGCAACACTAAACCACAATTCTAGCTGATAAGGGGAGCAGACGAGGAGCCCCCCTGCCCCAGAACGGTCTCTGGACCCTTGAATTCCAAGAGCAGGGAAACACTTTCATCAGGCCTGTGAATGGTTATTGCAAGATTTTCATACGCAGGATTAAAAATAGCAGAAAGGGGAAAGAGAGAAGGAACCGGAATGGGATTATTGAACTGCATTGGCTGTTCTGTATCCAGTGGGGATGGACTTTAGTGACAGTACAATGCAAGCACAGCTGAGCTTGTTGCTACAAGGCCTTTTGGCTAAGTCCACATGCCAACATGCTCTGCAAAATTTGTTGGTTCAAAGGTCTGGACCAGAGTTTGAGGGAATGTTACTTTTTCACAACTGCCACATCTGCTCTTAAACTGGCTGCTGCTGCTTTGCCATGGGGCTTACATGGGGGTGGGGGAGTGGCAGGAAACATTTATTTATCATTTATTTATTCATTCATTCATTCATTCATTCATTCATTCATTAGCTTTTTAGCCTGACCCATTAGCCACAAGGAGCTGGTTTATGTTCTAATCAGATCTGTAACAGCTTTGGTAAATGTTCGGTTTTTGTCTTTGTCTTGTGTTCAACTTAAGGTGACACAGTAGGATTTTTACTAGACCTTCAAGACAAGAAAATGATTTTTTATTTAAATGGAAATCAGCTTCCTGCCGAGAAGCAAGTCTTTTCTTCTGCTGTGTAAGTACCTAGTACTCTTGAGGGCAATGGGAATGTTGCAGTAGAGTAAGATTTTTGCAGTGCTTGCAAGACAGAAATTAGATATTTGTCAGGTTGCTATAATGTTGACAGGTTGTCCACAGACACTGGACCTATTCAGAATGAACGTGTCCGCAAAAGGGCACCTGCACAGCTGGTGTAAGAAACGGAGAGCCAGATTGTTCAGGATTAATTAAAATCTAGGGTGGGGCTGCAGTCTGGAAGCCTGGGTGGGATGAAGGTACTAGAAATAAGGAATGTCAGTCCCGGAGATTGTTGGGGGAAAGGGCAGAAAACAGGCAGTGTAGTTGTGTTGAAGATACGGAGGAAAGAAAAGCTGGACCAAAGGGGGAGCACAGCCAAGGCAGGCAGTTTTGAAAAGGCTACAGGAAGGTGGGGTTTGCAAAGTCATTACGGAGGGATAGGAAAGAGGTGTGGAGAGGGAGGACTTAGAAGCAAGATGGGCACTGATGTGGGATGCACAAAAACATGAAAAGGAGCGGGGGGACAGATCAGGCCATGGGCTGAGATGCTAGGGTCTGGGAGAATGAGGAGGGAAAGCATGGAGTTCCAGCCACGAGTTGAGGATGCAAGGGGGCAGCAAAGACAGAAGAAAGACTCTGCGATCCATTAATTTCAACTAGTCAGTCCTATTAGGCTTGGAAAAGACCTGTAGAATCGTCCAGTAGAGTGGAGTGGTGGTCCTCCAGATGTTTGATGGACGCTTTGGGGAGCTTCCATCCCCAAATAGGGTGCTGATTGGTCAGGTTTCCCTCTCCAGCACTAGAGGCCTAACATGAGTTTCTGTTGCATTGGGTGATAGACGCGTCACAAGTATTTCTCGGTTTAACAATAGGAGGAGCAAAGTGGGCCAGCCAGGTTGCCTTGCATGGGTGTTCTCTGACATTCTCCAACTTTACAGGTCTGGCTTTTTTGCTGCAGCTAGTTTCATGTCTTACCAGCAGTGTGAGTTTAACTTTGGAGGAAAACCATTCAAATATCCACCATCAGCTAAATTTAGCACCTTTAATGATTATGCCTTCCTGACAGCAGAAGAGAAAATCATTTTACCAAGGTAATGTTTTCTACTTGTCAAGGCACGAAATTGAAGAGCTGGGATGATAAAAATAAAAAACAAATGGGCTTTATAGGAGCTGACATGTCTGAAGGCACAGGAAATGCTGTGAAGTTTTTGTACTTTTGAAGATGTGTCAGGAGCCAAATCTGTGCTGCAACAAATCAGTCAACCTCAGAGCTGTTTGCCATGTGGCTTTTAGATAAGGGAACTTGAAAGAGTAGAGTAGAAAATGTAGTTCCAACAGATGTTCTGGGGGCGGGGGGCAAAATTTGAGCTGGATTCTGCAAGTTATGCATGGATCTAATTCATTCAGTGTAACTTAGCCACCTTCCGAGATTTAGGCTTTTTTGCATAAGTGCTGATATGTTGTAGTTTTCCAAAGAAAGCGGGGGTGGAAGAGGGGTAGATCATTTGCTGTTCTGGCTAGCTCCTCTTCTTCAACCACATGGAGCAGAAATTTCTTTCTTGGTGGCCTTGTATTTTATTATATGAGCAATCTGGATTTTCCAGATGCCAGGAATTAATATGTTCGGTAGAATAAACTTGTAGCTATGCAGAATATGTGTTCAACAGTGGCCTTAATTAAAGATGAAATCAGTGAAGTATTCACAGCTGTGCATATTTGTTTACAGAGATTAAAGTGAGATTCATCTTTACACAAGGTGATTATGTGCATACATTTGATGTGAATGTGTGACGCCATGCAATAATTTTTTTAAATACTGCATTGGTGAATCAGTTGTGTGCAATTTTTGTCGTCCTCATTTTTCATCTTCAGACATAGGCGCTTGGCCTTGTTAAAGCAAGTGAGCATCCGAGAAAATTGCTGCACTCTTTGCTGTGATGAAATAGCTGACACAGAACTCAGGCCATGCGGACACAGGTATTGTGAATAATTTGTGTGCTTTCTCCTGTTTTTATTGCCCGGGTTTGGTATAGGATTTTGTACTTAAGCCCTAGTGATCCCAATTAGGATGTACTACATATGCAATCAGTAGACTGGATCATACTGTTTCAGATTACAGGTAAGGAATGGCATTTTTACATGCCTCCCTCCCCATTAGAAAAACAAGCCACCCCCCCCCGCAAAGAAACCCATCCCAAATGCCTAGTGCAAGAGGAAAGGTTCTAGCCTGCTCCTTGGCTGTGTGCTAGTTTTCTGCTTGCAGGGAATATGTCTGGAAGAATTTTAAACCACAGCAAAAAGTGATTCCCTACCTGCTTGCTGAAGTGGTACAGTCCATTCTACTTCTCGGAACCCCACCAGTTCATACTCGACTCATCCTGCAGCATGTTTAGACCACACCTAAGTTATAGGACAAGAAAGATTTGTGTTGCTGCTCAAAAATGAAATGAGCAACTGTGTACTCCCAGTGCTCAACAAAATCGGCATGTGTCAGCTGTTGCTTTACCGATCAGCATTCCCATCGGCCTTCCTGAGGCCCGTCACGAATGTGAACGAGCCCCTTTGTCTTTTCAGAAAGATCCTTCCATTGTTTTGGAGGAAGACCTCCGTGCTCTTGAAAAGCTTGCATGCCGTTACCTGGGTAGACGGTGCTGTAGTAATTTGCCTTGTCCTGTTGTCCCCTCAGTGACCTGTGCATGGAGTGTGCCTTGCAACTAGAGACCTGTCCTTTGTGTCGCCAAGAAATACAGACCCGAGTCCGACAGATCGCTCACATTTCATGACAGGTGGAGAACAGCCTCTCACGGACTTGCCTCCGATCCATTCCATGCAGTGCCAGAAGAGAGAAAGGAAACTCAGCCCAAGCAGCGCGTGCACCGAAAGGCCAGCCGTGGCCAGTTTTTGTCGACAAGGACAGTAGATGGAACCTTGTTAAATCCATTGCCTCAGCACTGTGGAGTGCTTCCTTTGGTAGTAACAAAAGCCAAGGGCAAAACTTGGGTTAATGTTGGCTTGTTCCCAAGCAAGACCTACTGGAGAGTCTCTCTTGATTTACTCCATTATCTCCCTCCACTTCTTTCGCAGCTGTTCCCACTTGGCTATCACATACTATTTTGCACTGGAAACCTGTAAATTCATAATCTCCTCTAATGGAGGGCATATCTGTCTCCCCAAACCTTTATTTTTGGCAGCCGACATGCATCTACCACAAAATGCCAATACTTCTTATCAATGTAGCTTCCTGCTGGTCAGAAGACCCTCTGTATTTTTGAACAGTTCACATGACAAAGACCATTCAAAGACTTGAAATATACATGAAGAAACTGATTTGTAAAGAAGGTGTGGAGACTATAGAAGAATCCATTTTTTTTCTTTTGATAATTCAGTGATTCCAAAGAACATTGATTCATTTTTCTTTTTTTAATTGCAGAAATTGATGGTATTTTCATTCATAGTGTTTCTGATTCCTTCAATTTCAGTACCTACATTTTTGTGAACAGAAAACTAATTTTCAGAAGGAATTCTTATAACTGCAGTGCCCGACTGGAGATAGTTTAATATTTTGGGTATTTTTAAGGTACCATTTGATCATTGCTCTTTTTTTAAAAAAAGAACCTGAGTATATCTGTTCTTGCAAGTTCTGTACATTTTGAAAATTACTGAGCTATAGACGTCAAGATCTGGAAAGAACACAGAGCAAACGTGTTAATGTTGTTTTCAAAGAAATACATGTTTGAATAGCAAGTCAGCCTAGGTTGGTTAAACTATTCTCTTCTTAAAGCAGACTCTAACAAACTTAGATTTTGCTGAGCTCATTCTTATATTCTAAAGGGAGTTGAGTAAGGCAGTCATACACAGACCTGTTCCAAGTTCCTCATGGAGTTCTGAAATAACAGAACTTTTTAAAGTTATGGATGCTAGAATTGAGAAGTGCATATTGACTATTTGGGGTGGTACGCATACTGTGCTTGCATTGGAAGTGCAGAGAAGATGCTGAATCTGCCTAAAAAACTCAGCTTTAAAAAACAAATACAAGTTTCTAGCCCTTATGGCTGTAAAGATACGCAAGCATCTGTGGGTAAAGCCTGTTGAAATCTGAGATGTCAGAGGCATGGTTGAGTAAAGGCTCCTGGCCTCTCTCCAGCATTTCACAAATCAAGAAAAATTTACTCAAGACTCCTAGCCCTTCTTCCACATTCCTCAAGTCAAGAAAAATTTACACACGTTTAGAGTTCAGAATTCAGCTTTCCTCAAAACCATAATTCTTCAGTGTGCATGAAGCCTTATGATGACCCTGCCCATTTTCAATCAAAAATGTGTACCTCAAGCATAAATATATTTGTCTAGAGTTGTCTTCAATTTCCTGCTAACCTGCCAGCATCTCAAACGCCACGCTACTGATTTTGTTTTCCCAGATGGGATTTAGCTTTGCATTTTTGAAGGGCATCCAGTGTTGTAGCTGCAATGAGTTATAAAAGCTATTTATGACTTAAACCATTTGCTTGGGTGGGGTGGGGATAGAGTCATGTCCAAAGGAAGTTTTTAAAAATGCCAGCGGATTTGCCAAGTTGTTCTGCATTCCAGAACTTCCAGCACTGAGAGACGACGGACTTTCCATCAGATACCGTAAGTTAGGATCCAAACCTAATTTAAGGCATATTCTCGCTCGCCTGTGTCCATCCCATGTTGCTTAGGAAGAGCCTGGCTTGACAACTTTCCTTGCTTAACTTCGGGTCTAAGGAAGAGCTAAAACAACAGAGCACAAAGGAATAACCAGTGTTTACAGCAAGTCACTCAGTTTTCCTCCTGTGAAAAGGAACAAGATCTTAGTTTAAGCTTTAGCACACTAGAATCTGCTTCATCAGATACATGCTGTTCAGCTAATGTATTTGCATATATTTCCTCAGAGGCTGATAAGGTGTGAGGGAGAGGCAGATAAGGCATGGGGGAGGAAGCCAAGTTAGAAGCAACATTTTACGAGTGAGGTCAAAAGGCTTGGCAGCGCATGAGCCGGGTGTGCCCCGTTACTATGCAAAGCATAAACGTGGAAAATAAATATGGAAAAGGCTAAACCTGTGAATAATGCACACCACTGCCCAATGGTGTGCTTGGACCACAACTCCCTTTGGGTTATGGGAGGTGTAGCCTGACATCTATGGCGCATACCAAGTTAGGGGATAAAATATTCTTGTTCATAATGATAGTTCTCCTTGTGTGTGTGTGTGTATGTGTACTAGTGTTGCACTTGTAGACTCGGATAAAACTAGCTATTCCCCTCCCCTGCCCCCCACAGTGGGTGCCCTGGCTTTCGGTGAGGTATCAAAGGCAGCTGGTGCAGTGACTGCCTTCGGGAGATGTGCCACCTGGTTGGCCTGTCTTCAAAATATGCATGTTTCCAAGCACACAGGTGGCTCTTGCTGATGACAGAGGCCCTTTCAGAAGTATATGATGAAATGGAATCTCTGCTTAACCAAATAATTACACCAGAGTTGAAAAGTTTGCTGGAAGCATGCAGTAACCAGTTCTATTGCTGCTATGCTTCCGACGCCGCATAGGTGGAACAACTGCAGCAAAGACACTTTTTGCATCCCCAGCAGCCATCCACAAGATAGCACTGAATTTTCCTGCAATAAAATGGATTTAGCCTGAGAAGGGCCTCCTCTGCTGTGAAGCTGTTCCATCAATACACTGCTGCTTATGCATCAGGGCATATGTACTTAACCATTCAACCATGGACTTTAAATCAGTTTTAAATTAGTATGCATAATAGTGCTTCTATCATTAAAAGTACACAAACATTTGATTTAATAAGCCCTGGAGTGAGAGACACATCACTGAGATAATTTTAATGGACTCTGCCTCCCCCCCCCCCCCCGCTCTTTCTTCAGGAAAACTTGCAGGAGTATATTTGTTTTTGCCAGCTTGGGTTCTTATGATGCAAACAAATATTTGGTCTGAGCACTTCTAGTTAAAAGAACCTCCCTATCTGAGGTTAACAGCATCAAGGCAATCTTGAGGTGCTTAGATATCTATATATTAAGATTTAGAAGAAGTTCCTGGTGGAGGATAGGTTTGCCAGCCGCTATTGACCCTATTAGCTTCCATGTTAAAATACAGTGCATCTCATGAGCACTGGGTCCTGGTGAAATATAGTAGGTGAGATGTTGAGCCAGCCAGATTAAAGGTTTGTCGCATGCAGGCCGGCATCGGATCTTCTAGCAAACCACTGTTAGCATATTGGACTAGAGATGAATGTAGAAGGGCCCTCCAGGGGTGGGAGAGTGTAAATCTAGTCTCTCAACCTCCCCGTTCCTATTCCCTCTAGCTGTGTAGGACTACAACTTCCAGCGTCCTCCACGCACATGGGAAGTGTCTCAACTCAGCTGAAGTAAACCTGTACTCGAGGCTGCCGGTCTCGCCTTCCTCCATATCAGATGCGCTGGCCTCCTACAACTCCCAGAATGCCTGGCCATTGGGCGCGCTGGATGGGGCCGATGGGAGTTAAAGTCCAAACTGCATAAAGAGCCCAGCTGCGGGAAGGCTGACACAGAATGACACGCGCCACTTTCCCATGTGGACTAGCGATCCTAAACCTGACCACGCTTGGCTCCTGCTTGCATTGGTTTTAAAAACTATTTATAAAGCGAGTATTAAGCTCCCCGCACTAAAGAGAAATGCCATCGGCACGCACCCCAACCCTGTTCTTGGCGGCTGCGCAGAGGACGCCCCGCCCCTTCTCCTTGATTGGCTTTCTCCTTCCGCAAATCCCTTTGGCCAGAAAAGAAGTGCGGCTGAGCGGTTCTTGATTGGTTCTTCCCTTCCGCGCCAAGGATTGGCCCGCGTGAGCCGAGTGAGCGGAAGTGGCCGTTTCCTGGGCGACGGGAGGAGGCGGCGGGCGGAAAGTAGCGGCTCCGCTAACGAAGCCTGGCTGGGGAGCGACGTGGCGGCGCCGGCCGGACGACAGGTAGAAGCGCGGATGGGAGCGTTGCGCGTGGGGGAAGGAGCCGAGGCCAAGCCCGAGACTGCGCGCCCGGCTTCCCCGCCGCCATCGGTCGGGCGCGGCCGAGGCGGCCCTGCTGCTGGTCCTGGGTATAGGTTGGCGGGGGGGGGGGGGGGGATAGACTGCTGCCAACCCTGGAGGCTCCACCTCGTGCCCATGAACGCAGACCGGATTTTGCGTGCGTATGTGGAATACTCCTGGGCGGGCTAGCAGGGCACGCTCCCGGCCCTCTTCCCCCGGTCGAGCTACAGCAGAACAGCGGGCGGGTGCAATTCCACGAAAATAACATGGCTCGAACCTGGTGGGGTCATCCAGGAAAGATGGATGGAGTCGGGACCGTTCGCAGGAAGCGCTTTTCCACGCTGGGTTGTTGCACAAGGGCCGCCAACTTGCACGGCCGGCTCAGTGCGCTTTCCAGGAACACCGGCAGTGTGCCTGTGTCCGCCAGTTACTGGGGAACCTGGGCTGTTGCATTCCTGTGTTATGGGACCCCTGGCTGGGCGAACGCCTCACCTGATTCTGCAGCAGGGCGCTGCTTATGCTCTTAACAGGCCAAAAAAACCAGCAGAATGTGCACATCCCATAGAATCGGGGAAGGCTGGGGAAGTATGTAGGGCTTCAGAGCCTTCCTAAAAGCTGGCAGTGATGGGATCCATGATGGCAGGTCATTCCAAAGGTGTGGAGGCCCTGGGTGGGGGTAAACCCCTCTTCTGATTGTCCTCCAAGGTGGGCGAAAGAGAAAGCCCTCTGTTAAAAGTGTTAAAATGCCAGTAAGCTGTTATTGGGCAAAAGCAGCCTTTCAGGTAATTTGGTCCCAAACCATTTAAGGCATGAAGGGCATAATCCTCTATATGGACAGGAAAAAGCTTACAATGACCAGCCAGCCATATGGAATACTCTTCTGCTCAAGCGAGCATAGGTTTGCATTTTGATAGTCAAATTTTAGATTGTTGTGGAGTCTTGGGATTGAGCTAGCTCATCTCTCTAGTTGTGTACTTAAATCCTGGACTATGCATGCAGCAGAAATAAAATTGGGTGTTGAATGGACTGTGTCACTTCTGAATGCTGCTGGAGGATCAGCTTTAAAATTCTGCCCTACCTTTACCACCCCCTCATACCAAAAAAAAACCTCCCTACAACTGCAAAACCAGCACAACAGAGAGTAATCTGATCTTCCAATGCTAGCCCTTAAAGTGCATGGTTGTGCATCAGATTTTTAACACTCCCAGACATTAAAAAATTATTCTTCCACCAGTAACCTGAGCTTGCCAGGCCACCTTTCCATCCCATTCCACTCTACAATCATTACCAGTTTGTTTTTTCTCAGGGTAAACAGGAGGGAAAACTCCAAGTGTAGTAGCTCTTTCCCACATTCTCTTCTTCTGTGATCACAATCCCAAAATTTCCCTTTAGGAAAGTGTCCCTGGAAGTAGCATAACATCCCAAGTCAGTACTTCACTGAAATAGATTGAATTGGCACTGCTAGCAAAAAGTTGTGCAGAACACCAATAAGGCTTAGAATATCAAAAAATGTTCCAGATTGTCAGCATCTCTGAGAGGACTGCTAAATTCATTATTAAAAAACAGAATATAGCTCAACTATAGGTCTACCTAGAGAAGGCTGTCCTTCAAAACTCAGTGACCAGCTAAGGAGAGTATTAGTCAAAAAAGCAACCAAGAGGTCAAAGGTAATTCTGAAGGAACCAGAGTGGTTTACAGCTAGGATGGGAGAAACTGTTCATGGGCAACTGTCAGCTATACAATCTTCAAAACTGGGCTTTATGGAAGAGTGTTGAGAAGAAAACCATTGCTGTAACAAACCCATCTTAGAACCCATTTGGAACTTGTAAAACGGTGTGGAAGAGAGACAGGAAACCTGTAGGAAAAGGTGTTCTAGTCTGATGAGACCAAAATGGAACTGTTTAGCCTTGCTGGAAAACGCTGTAGGGCAGAGCCAACAGTATTTGAACACCATCTACACAGTGAAGCAGGATGGTAGTAGCATCATGCTGCAGGGATTTTTCCCCCTTACCAGTGGCTAGGAAACTTGTCAGGATTGAGAGCAAGATGGATGGAGCCTAATACAGGGCAATCCTAGAAGGACAGCCACTTTCATTCTGCAGGAGACCTGGGACCGAGATGGAGGTTCTCCTTCCACTACGACAGTAATCCTGCATGCACAGCCAAAGCAGCACTGCACAGTAGTTTAGAAGCAAGAATCTGAATGTCCTAAAATTGCCTACTTCAAGCATAGACCTCAGTCCAATAGAGAATCTGGCAGTATTTGAAAGCTGCTTTTCATCAGCAGTCTCCATCCAGCATGACAGAGCTTTGCCAGAAAGAATGTCAAACATTGAAGAATCCATAAGCACGATGCCAATACGAGATATGGCAACTGCAATTGCTGCCAAGATGCTTCCACTAAATCTCGCCCCGAGGGCGGGATACTTCATCAGCCAAGAAGTGGCAGTTCAGTTTTGTTTACTTGCACAGCAGTAAAATAAGTTGCACCATAGCAGGCTGAGGGTATTTACTCTATCCAAGTAGTAACAATGCCAGTTAAATCCATTTCAGTTCCAGGCTGTACCAACAAAAAGTGGAGAGGTCGGGGGGAGAATGCAGCTGCAGGGTGCTGCATGCAAGAGGCCCTGCATGTCTGGCAACCTAGTCGTGATCACGAGTTCTCATGAGGCCTTTGTGAATCTAGAAATTGCGTGGATCCTCCCTCTTCCAGAATCGGACTCCGGCATTCCTAAGACATATAAAAGGTGGTGCCTTCAGGAGCCTCACACGCTTCATGCTGTGTTGCAGATCACTTTTAATTTGGGCAAAACTGTTGTGCTATTCCCCTCTGCATTGTTTCAAATGGATAAAAATCTGGAAGGGCAAGGAGCCAGTGGGCACCCTGGTGTCCAGGGATGCTCCCCGGAGTCCCAGGGCGGAAGGGAAGGGTTTCCAGATCGTTCTCAGGCCAGCCATCGTGCACCTCTTGGATTCTGAAGTGAAGTGAAGTGTTTACATGTTGACTTTGCAAAGCAGGTCGCAAAGCAGTGATGGAGACGTTAGAAGAAGAAAACTTCGGTGTATCCATGTAAGCATATTTTGCTAATTTATTATTTGGCATATTTCAATCCCACTTTTTTATTGCTTCCAAGGGCCTCCAAGAGGCTTAAATATTTCTCCTGCTCTCAATCTTATCCTCACAACAACAGACCTGTGAGGTAGGTTGGGCTGAGCATCTCTGCCTGGCACAAGGACACCCAGTGAACTCCATGGCCGAGCGGAGACTAAAACCCAGATTGCCTGAGTCCCAGTCCTACCCTCTTAACCACCACACCACCCTGGCTTTCTATTTCTGCTTCAGCATTGCCACAAAAATGTTTTAAAAATCAATGTGCAGAACTTCATTTGGATTATTTGAAAAGATATATCCACTTCTGTAAGGTTTTTTTTTTTGCGGGGGAGTGGGGGAACAGTCACACCGAACACCAGTGGCCATGTAGCTAGCATGTTGAGATCGGGCTTCTAGTCCCCGCCCAGCCATGGGACTCACTGGATGACTGTGGGCCTGTTGCCCACTCTCAGCCTAACCTTCCCACAGTAACCTTTGTTAGTATGAGCGTAAAAATGGAGCAAAGGTGAACTGTGCAAGTGGCCCTGGGCTCCTCCCAGGAGGGAAAAAGGCCAGGCAGAACTCAGTGCCCCAGGACTCTCAAAAACGACCAGCTTCATGTATGGAATTACAGCCCCCTTTGCTGGGCACCTTCGCCACAACCCCAGCTGTTGTGAACTTATTGCCAGTCAATTTCATTGATAACCTTGTCAGTTTCACGAGTAACTGCAAATCCAAGTATTAAGGACTGCAGTATGCAATTCAACTTTTATTTGCAGCAAGGAAGATGATCTTGATCTTGAAAGAATACTTTCAAAGAAATGTATAAAAGGCTTCTAAAAGTGACAGGTGGTTGCCATCCTCTTTGTGTATAGCTAGATGGCAGTAGGTGACAATAATTTCTCAAGTTGTCCTGTCTTACATCTGTAAGGACGAGGTTAAGTTCTTATTTTTCATCACAACAACGAGGCACATTGACAAGGGGGCAGAAGCTGAAGGATCAGGAGTTGTTCAGAATCCCACATAGTGCTTTTATAGCTTAAGATACATTTTGAACCCACATCCAACTCTGAAACTGGACATAGAAACAGAGTGAGTCAGAAGGGGTCTCTCAGGCCATCTAGTCTGATCCCCGTCTCCAGCCCACTCTGCTCATGACATGCCTGCTTGATGCAGATGAAGGCTAATAACTGCTCTGGTAGGAGAAAGGTACAGCAAAATACGTTTGCCTTTTAGAAATGTTTGTGTTGGAACATAAAATAGCTATGTATTGTATGCATTGGTAAGTGGGGAGAAGAGATCTGTACAGAGAGCACTGTAGTGGCAAGGAGTTGGCCATGAACTAGGAAGTCTGATAGAGAACCTCACATGTTCAGGGACCACTGTGCACTGTATTGGGTATCATAGAGTCAAAGAATAGTGGAGTCAGAATGAGCCAACAAGGCTAGTGGGTCCAACCCATTGCTCAGTGGCAGGATTCCAAGTTAAAGCAGCAGTTAAACTTCTTCCCTTGGTCTGAACGTTCTCGCTGTGATCCTGGGATGATAATGCTGAACCTCCTAAGGGGGTCTGTTGGAAGAACTGCTAGGATAAGTCTCATGGTGTTCACAAGCCCAGCAGCTGTGCTATGGTATAAACTTAATGGGCTATGCATCATTTTATCAGCTGCATGAAATGTTTTCTGATTATAGTATGGTTAAGGTGGACGTTGGAAACACAGATCTGCTTAGATGGATATTTGGTGACTGATGCAGTGCCTTTGTGCATCTGCAGTGAATTCTAGTGTATAAAAACTTACTACTCTCCAGAATGCCACAGAAATGCTTGGATAGGTTTGCTGCAATAGAGTAACATGGTCCTCTGGAAATATGTGAAGTGCTTTGAATGCTCCGATATGCTATAGAAGTGCACCATAGATTTTAGGGTGAGGCAGATCGTGGCATCTTCCATAATAACCGGGATTTAATTTCTCTTATTTTAGTTCTTCCCCTTCAGATGCCGAATTTGATGCTGTGGTTGGATACTTGGAAGACATCATAATGGGTAAGTTCTGCTCTGAGAAATGCTGCCAAAAGGCTGGTGACAGGTCAGCACTCCTCTTGCTTGCCGATAGCTGGGGAAAGTCGTATACATTCAAACATTTTAAATAATTGTTTTGATTCCATTGTGTTTCTTGCTTAGATTCTTTCCATGTGGCTTGAATACACGCACACAATTATATATTTTGCATAGTTCCTTGAGGACTACTTTATTGCCAAAAGAAAGAATGGGAAGCTAATAAATAAACACTCTGTGAAGAAGGTGATGCACATTGAGACACGAGAAAGCATGAAATTATAGGTTTTTTTCTGGTGGAAGCTGGAAAATATTCACGGAAGCAGGATTCTTAAAACACATCTCCTCCTGTCTGGCTTTGGCTGCTGTACCAGCAGAACTGGTACTCTGAATAAGAGCATTCCTGCTATGTGCTGGGCATATACTTCAGCACTGCTAAACATCTTCTAATCGAAAGGCAGGTCTCAGTAAATCAGCGGTGATTTCCAGTGGATTTCTGAGGTCATGGTGTGCCAGTGCTCAAGAGCCATACTGTGAGTACAGTGGCTAAACAATGCCCAATTAATTGATTAATGCTAAGTAAAGCTTTGAGCTTGCATGCACATTGAATTCTCCAGGGAGTTGATGTTGCTCCTCCAGGACCGTGGCCCAAATGAAACCCACCATGAGGCTGTTACCAGGCGCAGCCTTATTTGTGTCTCTGACAAGAATTCCTCACCCTGTAGGAGGCCCTGATTAGCAAGAGAAAAAGGCAAAGTGCTGCCTAGCCTGCGCCCTGGCTCACTGCATCTGCGCTCCTGGCACCGCCGACGTGGGGCACAACGTATTTCAGGTTGAGGACGGCACACCAATGAATGTGGCACTGTCTGGCAACGAAATGGCCACAGTGATCGCAACTGTCTTGTGTTTGCAGATGATGGCTTCCAACTAATACAAAGAAACTTCATGGATAAGTACTACCAAGAGTTTGATGATACAGAGGAAAACAAGCTGATCTACACCCCGATTTTTAATGAATATGTAAGTGCACATGCTTGGTTTTGATCATCTCTGTGTCACACTCTGGCGAGTTTTGCCAGGTCTGCCACTGAAAATGGGGAGCTGGAGTCTGAATTTCAGCAGCACGTGCAACCTAATAACCTAATAACCTAACCCTATTTCATAATAGGGACATTTTCAGTTTTCATTGTGAAATTTTCTGCCCTAGAACTAGGATGGGCAGCTTCTGGCCCTGTAGATATTTTGGCCTGCGACTTTCAGCCAGCATAGCCGATGGTCAGGGTGATCAGAATTGTATGCCAGAATGCCTGCAGGGACATGGGTGCCTGCCATTCCCTAAAAAGTGATAGTTTAGCATATTTATTTTACTTGTATTTCATAAACAACAAGGCTGAATAACACATCCCATGTTACTTAAATTTTTGTCTCAATGCAGCATTCATATTTTACCTGAAATAATGTGGGGAAAAATTAAAATACATTTTATGCAATTTAAAACGTATGTATTGCACTGGAATACTGAATCACCTGAAAAATATTAATCGCCACTTTGAAAGGAGCAAGATTGTTTAATAGTGTATTTGCAGTTGGCCACCCATTCATTGTCACTCATATAGTTCTGAAATGGAAAAAAAGGTCTGTGGAAAAGTGAAGCTCTGGAAAGTGCCTGCCGCACATGGCAAATGTTCTAGTTCCCACCGTGCTCTTCGAGGGAAGGTGCTGGAGGTCATCCTGTGAAGCATCACAGCTGCTTGTTAGATGGGTCTCTTCGAGCCATGCTGGCACTGTACCTGTATTGCTCCTGGGAGAAAGGGGGCAACATTGAAGCTGGTCAACCTTTGTGTCCTCAGTAGCAGTTTAGCTGGTGAACCTTTTATTATTGCTGTAGGTCTAACAGCTATTAAGGGAGCTGGTTCAGAAGAGGGAAGCTCTGATGCCTGCTAGAACACATGTGGTTTTTGAAAGGCATTTGTGAGAAGTGCTTAGTTAGTGTGGTGTGTTTACTGCCAACTTCAGTTGTTCTCCTTGTAAAAGTTATTGGAAAAGACAAACTTTTTTATATCCCCCTGATGAAAAATGCACAAGGTTCTTGCAGCAGGGAGGCAGTGAACAGAAACAAACATGACTGCTCTGAGGCAGAAACTCATGTTTTGCTTGTCTGAAGCTGGTGGATTCAGCAAATGCCAATAATCCCCCTTAAAATGTGGCCCAGCAGTTGGAAGTCCAGTCAGCGTCACCGATCTGTATGGAGCATGTTTTTGTCAGCTTCCGCTGGAAGTAATGGCACCGTGTTCCCCATTTTAGATTTGCCTAGTTGAGAAGTACATTGAAGAAAAGCTCTTGGACAGGATGCCGCGCTTCAGCATGTCCACATTCATCTCGTCATTACAGTAAGTGAGACAGCTCGTTTGCGTTTTCCGTTGACATGAGAACCTGTGTCTAATTTACAGTCATTTGCTGGGGAGCAGGAAGAGAGGTTTGTAGCGTATGCCTGAGAGCATCTTCTCCCGCAGAACCTTCCTACTGCTGTCGAGGCCTTGCGCCAGGAGCTGCCCTACACTGAGACGAGCTCGTGTGTACTCTGCAGCAAAAGCACAGCTGAAGAGTGGCCCGCAGAGATGGAGCCTCTTACTCGCTGCAGCTCACGAGTCGAGGCACTGGAATTGCACAGCCAGCCTGCAGAGCCCTTAATCTTGCCTTGGGGCTCAAGAATCTGAAGGAATCCCTCTCCCTTCCCAGCCTGCCTCTTCTTTGGTATCTGTGGGAACACTGTGCCGCAGAGAATACATGCCCGCCCCTCTCCAGCAGGATTTTTTCCTAGTTTAAAATTTGTAGCCTATCTTACCTCCATGCTTGTCAAAACCGTTTTACATTAATGATGAATCCTTTCCTTACAGGCAGCACAAGGATGAAATTGCTGGGGATATTTTTGACATGCTGCTCACATTCACTGACTTCCTGGCATTTAAAGAAATGTTCCTGGACTACCGAGCTGTAAGTAGCCCAGACGGTTCCCCAGACACTCGGAGCACGTCGTCTGGAGCAACTGGCAGGGCCTTTCAGAGGTCTTGGGTGGAGGTCCCCTTCCCAGCCCTCTTGTCCGAGACCCTGCGGGCACCTTGGGCACCACTTCTGGAGAGACTCCAGGAAACTTCAGTAACGTAGGAGATGCTGGAGGGCCTCCCCAGTTCCTCTCTATCCCCAAGCCACGCTTTCCTTGCTCTTGCATTACCTTTCCTATGCGGAAACAACTCCATGTATGCAATAGCCCTGCTCTGTACCCTGGCAAGGGTTTTCCTCCCCGCTCCCCCCTGCAGATCTTCTCAAGTATGTGTGTCTGTGGGTCTTTTCCCTGCTTTTCATAGGTGGAAAAACTGAGGCCAAACATGAGCTGCCCAAAGTCACCTAATGGAAGTTTGCATCTGACCTTATCTTTGTTCCCTGAAAAAGCTAGTTAGGTATACATCTTAAGATCCACAGCAGTAGTGCCTTGGTTTCTCTCCAGAATTATTCAGATAAGAAGGGAAGGGGGTTGTCTATAACCACATGTATTTTGTGACTTTGGCGCACAGAGATGTACTGAATCTTTCCAAAAGTATCATTAGTGAGGGTCTGAAAACACTGGATTTGGAAAGGCCACAGGCCTGGGGGAAGTGTCTGCAAAGACACAGCTCCAGAAGGCAAATAGGCTGAAGCCGGAAAGGGTAAGGGCCCAGCCCTGCTGTGTTCCACCTGCCTACTCTTCCCCTCCTTGAGAGTAATTGCCTTCCGGTGCAAACCTGTGCAGGTCAGACACTGCCTGTGGCATGCTGGGAGTTGTAGGCCTTCTTTCTTTGGTCAAAACATGCACAGGGTTAAGCTTGTGATAATGGTGTATTTGTATTGCAGGCGGCCTGATGCTGTATTGAGTGATACAGAGGGTATTGGTCTTGTGGGTTACCTGGTTGGCAGTTAAGGCTTGGAAATGTGGAAATCATAGGAGAAGGACCCATAACAGTGCCAGAGATCAGAGTCATGCCCTGATCACTAGAATTCCTGCCCAGTTCTTGTTGGTTTCGTCCACCATAATTGATAGCTGCGCAAAGAAGTCTTTGCTCATTTCGCACAAATGTTAAAGACTGTCCATTTCTGCTGTCAGCTCTAGAAATCTTCCTAGTGTTTGTTTGAACGTGCTTCTTTGTCTGAATGCCCGCTCTTGAGAAATGCCAGTGAACTGAAGTTAGTTTTTGTCCCCATCTAGGAAAAAGAAGGCAGAGCCCTGGACTTAAGTGGTGGATTAGTGGTGACACCCTTAAGTAAGTCTTCCGTGTCACCTTCCCAAAACAACCTGTGCCGCTAGGCCTTCCCTCCAAAGAGCTGTCTCTACTTGGGATGCACTGAAAACGGGAGGCAGCAGCAAAGACAGACATGATGTCCGGGATTACAAACATAGTGACGTTTTGGCAGGCCCGTCTTCTTCGCAGCTGTTCATATGAATTATTGTTTCCCTTGATCAAGCCCAGCTCCATCTCCGTGACAGTAACAGCCTCTTAGAACCCACATTGTGCCAGCAACATGGGATTTTATGTCACAGAGCCAGTGAGTGCAAGGATCTGAGGGCTGTTTGTGTTCCCTTGCTTGAAGGAGCGACTTCTTTGTGAAATGGCAGGTGGGTGTTGAATTTTCCATGGATGGGATGGCTGCAACAGGAGTCCCTGTGAAATTCCTGACTGAATTTTTGGGGTGAATCTGAATGCCACATTTTGACTCTTAGCAGGCAATGAGTGCAGGGGAAAGAGAGAGAGCTTGAGAGATGCACAGCTTGAAAAATGTTACCTCTTGTGTGGTAATTCCCTGCCCTCCCCACAACAGTCTTACCTGTCTTGTTCTCCTGCCTTGAACTCAAGAGCCTTCAGCTGTAAAAGTAACCAGGCTGCTTTGAAAATCCATTTTCCCCTTTTTTCTTGGAAAGAAACGCAGCATGTTTTATTACTACCAAGAGAATCTTACTTTAACATGGACAGTATTTCACCTGCACTCTCCGTAGCGCATATAAACGCAAACCTAAAGCTTTTTGTGGCTTCCAAGGCACGTTTGGTTGTGGCCATTCCCCTGCACTGTTTAACAGCAAAGTGCTGCTCCCCAGGTACTGTAATGGCAGCCGAGGTGGCCCCGTTACGTGAAATCGTAAGGTGGAATCCGGACCCAGAGCTGCCCCAGGAAAGCCATGGCACTGGAAGCAGGGCGGGCCTGCCATGACCCGCGAGTGCCGGGGTTTCACTGGTTGCTCCGGAGAACTTGGCTTGTGTGGGTGTGCCTTGAGGTTTGCGCGGTCAGTGGACATTCGGAGCGCCTTGCCAAGGGTGCAGTGGCTTCTGACAGACAGGCCCCTGCAGAGGTCCTCCCCTTGCCTCCTGGCGTGTTGTGTGTGTCCGACCAGCTCCACATGCACACACCTCCCTGTTCTTGCCCCGAGACCGGCCCTGCGGGGGCTGCTGCCCTCTTGAGTTCCTCCACTCAGCAAAGTCAGCCGGGATGAGTAGGATGTCCAAGCCTGAGGATCCCCTTTCGTGCACAGCCTGCCTTTACTCTAGCCTGGGGACACAAGGACGAAGGATAATACTTAGGGATGTATAAGTGTGTCACTCACATGCACACACACCCTTTGCCCCGGGCTCAGATTTTTTCCATGCTAGAAGAAAACCTGCCATGATTGAGATCCGTCAATGTACTAGCCGAGCCTTGGACACTTCAGTCTTTTCCCTTACATGGCAATGTTTCTTGGCATTCGGGTAGCTAAAAATTCTCATCCATGGGCAGGAGAAGGTGGTGCTTCCTTGTGGCAGTAAAGTTCATCCTCCATGCTGGTGAACCTGTTATGGGGACGGTTTTCGGCAGAGTGCGTGCCCCCCCCCCAGCTGCTGTGGGTAAAGAGCCCTCCTGGCCCAAGTCACAGGCCATGGGCGGGGGGGGGGGGGTCGCCAATCCAGACCAATGTGTGCTTGGTTGGAATAAATTCTGGAGAGGAGGCAGTGAAAGGGTGCTTGAAATTAGGGGTTCCCTGGGCACAGTTGTTGTGCTGTTCCATTTTTGGGATTGCAAATATTCTGATGTTTTCGGGCCATTCACCATTCTCAAATTTGGGTGGCAGTATTGTCACCTGAAACCTAACTATGTTGCAAGGAATATTTATTATAACTTCTCCGTGGACAGTGCTCTTTCTTGCACGTTTTCATGTATATAATTATGTACCTTCTCACTTTGAAGAACCAGACTGACAGCATTTAGAAAGGAGCAAATCGTGCATTTTCTAACTGTGCTAGTGAAACACACTGAACATGTTAGCAGTATGTTTCTTAGTGCTGTTTGCTTTCTGAAGTCCAGTCCTGGCTCTGCAATTTATCCACAAAAGATTGGAATGCAGAATGAGCTCCTTTTGGTAGCAGGTTTCCTGTTTGCTTTGCCTTCTTCCACTTGCCTTGAAGCCCATTTTAATTTTAAAAGGAGAGGAATAAGGAAAGCAACAGTCATTTCCTAAGAATAACCCAGTTGGCTGGAAGCACTTTCTCCAGGCTGGTGGCTTCCAGATGTGATGAACCACAATTCCTGCTATCCCTCGGGCTGGTTAATGGGAGTTGTAGTCCCAACATATCAGGAAGGGCACCAGGTTGCGGGAGGGCTGGCTGAGCCACTGTGCACTGGTTTGGATATAGGCCCTATGGATTTTGAGAAGTCATTGGGTAGTCTAAAACAAAAATCTTTTGCTTTGCAAAGGAAGCAGCAGCTGTGCAGGCATGAAGGCAACTCCAGCTGCCCGAAGCCTCGGCATGAAGGCTGCTGTTACTTGTAGCAGTGCGTGAAGGTGTTGTGCTTTGTGCTGTAAAGCCCTTTACAGGCACGAAAAGTAATTGTATCATTTGGTGTGGGATTAAACAGCCATTGAAAAACATCCTCTTCTTGGTGTGTAACTCTGGGACCTTAGGGATTGTCGAGCCAAAATTTGCAGTGATGTTTCCTCATTTGCACAGGGCCATGCGCCCTTGGCGCATGCATTTTTATTTATCTGCCTTGCATGGTACGTGCATTTGTTGTTTATCTGCTACTCTGCGGTGATTGCTTCTCTCTTTAGCAGTGCCAGTGAACGGGTGCATGCACTAGTCGGAGCAGTGTTTACAGTGGGGTGGGTTGGGTTGGAAGTACGCACCCCTAATATGGGCGCCCAGTGTGTTGCAGGAAGAGGAGAAGCCACGCACCTGCTCCTTGCGGCTGTCCCCTGCCACTGGGCACTCTGCTGCCTGCTAATGGCTCCCACCTTTTCCCTTGCAGTGTGAGGAGCTGCAGAAGGTGAGAAGGGTGGCGTGCAGCCCCCCCACTCGAGCTTCCCCAGCCTGGCACACTCCGGATGAGTCGAGCAGCAGCCCCTGCAGCTCCCAGCCAGCATAGCCGGTGCTGTCCAGTACAGCTGGGCAAGCGTGGAGCCGCTTGGAGCAGCCCTGAGGCTGTGGTCTGAAAGCCCGTGATAAATTGGTGCTCTTGCAGATGCAACGCTACTCTGGATCTAGTCAGTGGTGGCAAAGGAGACTGCCTGGCACCTTCTCTTATGATGCACCGAGTTCTGCCAGGGAGAAAAGCTGGCAGAAAAGCACCACTGTCCAGGTAGCCTAAGGACTGGAAACTTGCTTGTGCCTGCCTAGCTGCAGAATGCTCTTTCTCAAGCGGCTGAATCCCATGCTGGGGGGAAGCACTGCAGGTAGAGGCCGGGCACAGGATGCCCGCTGTCCCTCACAAATGCCCAGCGCACTTCCTGCCGTCTCCACTGTTTAAAACGGAGGGCCCAGTTCCCTGCTGATTCATGTCAAGCCGCAAGCTCCTGGTAGGAATAACACCTTTGAGACAGATTTAGATTTCTTTTTAATTCAAAACAAAACCTTTTTAGAAATGAAATACTTGCTGCGTTCTCATATCGGGAGCAGCCCTGCTACCGCGAAACACGCCAAGTTAATCATTACACATTATTTACACGAGAGCCACGACGGCTGACATCGCAGGAGGCTGCCAAGTTTGCTTTTTAGTGGCGTTTTAGTTCGGGTGAGAGGCGCTGGCTCGGCCAGCCTCGGGGACGGGCACTCTCCGGGCCTATGCATCCCCAGAGGACGGCATGCGGGAGGGCCGTTGTGGCCCCTTAAAACACAAGTGCTTTTCCAGTGTAGTCGGTCACCAAGTGATGTAAATGCGAACACTGATCAGGCCTGCAGGGAGCAAAGGAAGTCGTGCGCACATGTGGTCTATCCCCCAGAAGAGAGGTTCCCCCTAATCCGTATTAAGGCCGGGGTCTCCAGTGGGGTGCCCCACGGAACCCCTTCTTCACGCCCCCCCCAGGCTCCTCGCCTCTCCTTGGGTTTCTTAAGCTTTTTATTTTAAATGTTCTTGGTGGCGAGGCGGAGCGCTGCCCTGCAAAGAGCGGCTTGGTGCTTTGGAGCACAGGCCCACCCCTGCCCTGGGACGCACCTTTCGTGGGCAAGCGCCTTCGCCTCTGCTCCTCATGGAATGGGGTCTGTTGGAAGCGGTTCTGCCCCCCCCGGCGGCTGTTTGGCGAGGGCATCCACAACGGGCCCCCCGAGCCCGGGCAGCGCTTCCGGCGCATTTCCACCACTCGCTTCCGGGACGTGGGCCGAGCCCCATCCAAATGCACCGAACCGCTTCACTGCAAAGCACGGTGCTAACGGGGCGCGAGGCCCTGTGGTATTTCTAGCCGTGGCGGGAGGGAGATGCGTGCTGCTGGCCCGGGGCAAGCCAGGAATCGCCAGGCGGCGCACCTGCTCGAGGCCCTCGGTCGCCCGCCCCGCCGGACCGTCTTTGTCTCCGTGAGTGAGCCTCGCCGCAGCCAGTCTGCTGAAAATGCCAATTAGTGCAGGGCGGGGGGCAGGCACCTAACCAGCTAGGCAGGTGGCATTAAAGCCGCGCGTTTGGCACAGACCGGGCTAAAAGCGGGGAGCGGGGACAGGTTCCGGACCGTGCTCGGTCCGGCGGGTGGGGAGTGGAAAGAGCTGGCCCCCAGAGCCAGTGCTATCCCGCAGAGCCACCCGGGCGGCCGTGTTGATTCAGGACAGCCCACAGTTTTCAGGCGTGATTAGAAAACGTTGCTTGGCTGGTCGCCGCGTCGCTTCCGTATCCTCTCCAGGCGCGGATGCTGAGGCAGGCGCTGACGCCGTAGCCGATCATCACCAGGCACGCAAAGAACTGTGGGGGCAGAAGGCGGGTTATTCCTGCAGCGAGAGCAACGGCAGCCTCCCCCAGCCTCGTGCCTGCCAGGTGGCGTTGAGCTACAGTTCCCATCACCCCCAGCCAGGTGCTGCTGGAAGCAGTGGGAGTTGTAGTCCAATGCCTGCAGAGGCAGCCAGACCGGGGAAGGCTGAGCTGTAGGCCAACTGCTGTTGTAACAAGGATTGGATCACCAAGGACCCTTGGGCAACCGGAAGGGCACATCCCACCATTCGGGGATTAGAGCAGCGAAGGCAGCGCGCAGGTTGTTTTTATTCCTGTTTGTGCGAGTGATTCCTGGAAGCTTTTCAGCCGAAGAGCTGGGGAAAATTAGGGTACCTAGGAAAAAGAATATGCTGGAGACTGCTTCCATTCAAAATCTAGAGGCAGAATCGCTTGCTTTTTCAGCCCTGCGGGCTGTTGGAGGAGGACCTTAAAATAAGCAGCTGTTAGCTGTGCAGACAGATCTCTGTCATACACTCACTGTATCATTATTAGTAGGCGTCAATTGCAGGTGCTGAGTGATAGGCTTTCAAAACGTCCATTCATAAGGTAAGAAAGGATGGCTTTCAGCTAGAGATATAGGAGACATCCATGCATTTGTTTTTGGCTGGAATTTACCCAGATTGTACCTCCCAGAGCAGGTCACAGACAATCTGCAGTCAGAGTCCACACAGTTTTAAGCTTGTGCTGTGATTCACAGAACAAAAACAATGCAGAAAAGTACATGCTTTTGAAAATACAGGCAGAAGTGCTTTAATTGAGGAAAGAAAACCCATATTTTTCAGTCATGCAAAACTGATGCATGCAGTGTGGGGCAATGAGCACAAATTTTCATGCACAAAGGACGAAAAACCTGCAGTTTCATGTGGACACAAATTAGAATGAGCTTTGAGGTGGAGTTCAGAGGACCTTGGCACACCCGTATTTTGCCGTTTCACACATCCCTTAGAGCACAACCAAGCCAAAACTTAGTCCTGAATCCAACGCCAATCAGGAACACTGTTTAAAGATGTTTAAACAGCACGTGGGTTGTACCACAGCACTTCACAGCTGACCACAGAACCATCTGTAAATTGATCTGCATTTAGTACAAGATGGCCATTTTCCACGCAGTTACCTGTTGCCAAAAACAACCTTACATGTGTCATGAAACTGGACCTCAGCAAAAACCGGGGACATGACAGGCATCTTGAAATTTGACTGGAAATACTAATTCTGCATCTGCCAGAAAGTTGCCTCAAGTAAATAAAATGTGCCTTCATGAGCCTGGCATTTACCAGATGCTTTGGACTTACGACTCCCATCAACCCCAGCCAGGCATGGCCAGGATGTTAGGAGCTGCAGGCCAAAACATTTGGTTGAACACATACTTGTATGTGGCTTGGATATTTAAGTATAGAGGAAAAGGGACTTTTAACCTCTGCATTCTCAGAAATAGACCTCTGCAGGGCTGACCTCTCTGGCTTTGTCGCCCTGCAGGGAAGCAGGCAGCCTGAGCATCCTAAATTTGGCAATGTACCTTGCCCAGGGACAACAGGTTGGGCAGCTTTTAGGGGGCGGAGCAGTCCTGCGTGAGCCACGTCACATTGGCGGCTGGCACTGGGCTGGGGGAGAAAGGATGCGCACATTCAGCGCCTGACGTAAGTTCAGCTGCTTTCCCAGTGACCGAGGATTAGGTCATTGCTGGCACAGGAGCGAGCGCTGGGCAGGGGCACAAAATGATGCCAGAGGAAGCCCTCTCGGTTTAAAAACACAGCACTAACAGAGGAGGCGGGCCGAATCAGGGGGCACGTGAGGCTGCCCTCATGGCTGGGCTGCAAGCGGCACCCAGGGCAGAATCCGGCCCCCTAAACGGCTCGCCTTTGGTCAGAGGGCTGTGTGGGTGGCCAGTGTCTTGCCATTCACAGCTCTCAAGAACTCGGGAGCAGGCTACCCGAAGGAAGGCCTTCTCCCATCATCCCCCACTCCTTCCCAAATTTTACAGATCCTGCATACACACACCCGGCCTCCTCTGCCCTGCCTTTGGAATCACCACCCTCGGCTTCCCTTCCCACTGCAATCCTGGCACCGTCCTTGATGGGGTGGACGCGGACAATTACTGATCGCAACACCTCCCTCAGCCCATTTCCTTTGCTCTTGTTTTTTAATTACGACTGCTGTTTTACTGCTTTATTTGACTGATGGGTGGCACAGAAGTATTTTAGATAAAAATAAGAAAGGAGCAGAATCTCGATGCTCTTTCATGCTGCCCACAGATTGGGTGGAATGCTTGGCCCAGCTTGAGCTGGGAGCAGCTTGCTGGCTCACTCTGGATTAAATTCAGTAAACGCCTTTCTCTAAAGACGTTTCAAGAGCTCTTACCACCGTACGTGGAATTAAAGCAATTTATAAAAGTGGAAAGGGCAAATGACCACGGGCCACTAAAATAACTAAAGCAAGAGCTGTAAAATGTATCAGCAGAGAAGTCTTAACCTGGTGCCCAGTGGATGAAGTGAGAGGTAAGCTAATCGATGACTTTGACTGGGGGCATCCACCAACAAGGACATTTCTTGTTCATCATCGTCATCATCTCTATACTGCCCATAGCTAAAGCTCACAACATTAAGCCACCCACCCAGGTATCAGGCAGACCTGACCCTGCTTAGCTTCCAGGATTAGGCAGGATCCGGCACTGACAGAGCATGATCGAAAGGTGGGCAGAAACAGTCACCTACCGATGCAGAAGCTCTCCTGTTGTAATCCGGCGAATGTGGCCAGGAGTAAGGCTCAACAGATGCCGCGCTCGTTATGAAAGCCGTTGCATACAAGACAGTGGCCGCAACGTTGAACACTACTAGCTGTGGGAAGAGGAAGAAGCAGTTGGACTCTGCTCTGCAGAGCTGCACAGGGCCGCCTGATCGAGAAGAGCCCCGTTACGTTCTTGAATGGTCTGCGGTGTTGCACCCTGGCTTTCCGCGGCATCGTCAGGTGCACGCCACACCTGGCCAGCCAACGGAAGATCAGCCTTTCTGCTTGAGCCCATGCTGATTTTATTATATTTCTACCTGGCCTTTTTCCCTCCAGGGGTCCCAAGGCAACCTACCTGGTCCTCCTCCTCTCCATGTTATCTTCACAACGACTCTGTGAGGTGGGTCAGGCTGAGAGCCAGGGCCAGGCCATCAGTCACCCAGAGAGCCTGGGGGCTGAGTGGGAACAAGAGCCCCACTCCCCCTGCTGTCTAATTCAGAGGCAGGAACCTAGCACTCTTTGGGTAGTTTGCACTACAACTCCCATCAGCCTCAGCCAGGGGTCATGATGGTCTAGGACAATTGGGAGTACATGCCTATCTCCACTTTGATGGCAAGTTGGGAAATAGCTCTAATGCTTAAGCGCACCATCCAGTAGTAATTAAAGATTGTTTACTAATAGCCAAACAAGAACTTCAAGCAACATAAATTGAGGACAAGGAAGCAACACAGTTCTATGGAATTCTAATTCCAATGTGAGTTTCAGCATTTGCTCCCAAATTGTGTGTAGGACATGACCGAAAACCGGGGCAGAGATTAAACCTTCCCTGCATGTCAGTTGTGGAGATTCCCTTTCATTTAGCACTGCTTTTCCATGCCAGGGTAGCAGCCCTGAAGAGAATATAAAAAGCAGGCACCGCATTCGTCACTTGGAATTCAAGTTCGACTGATGTCAAATATTCAGGATGGAACAAAGCATTAGACTCTGTTGAGAAATATGGCATCATTAGCTAAATGTTGCTACCTAGGAGCCCAGGAAGTGCTCCTATGCCACGGGAAAGGGCTACCAAAATTTGCCCAGTCCTGCCCACAGAGGGTTGGGTCTCCACCGCCCCTGCCTCAAACCTTGTTAACTTCATTTTTTAAGATGGCATTTTATTCTGTGCTGATGCAATTGCAATTGCTCTTTGATGTTCTGAGTTCATTTCATCTTGTGTGTGTGCTTGTGTTTTAAATTTTTCTTTTCTTAACCTCCCGGAGAGCCTCGGCTATGGGGCAGTATATAATACATATATAAATAAATTCCTCTTTCTGCAAAGACGGGAGAGAAGGTGGAGCTGGCTCAATGAAAGGCCAGGCCGCTCCCCATGGCAGCCATTTTGTGAGAGTGCCCACAGCACTCCCTCAACATCCCATATGTGTCCACTGAGCTAAAAGAAACCTGGCTGAATGTTGTGCTGCCTGGGGGATTGTGGGAGTTGTAGTCCATCAAGTCGGGGAAGACTGTCCTAGTGTCCGCTGGCTCAGAATTCATCTTAATTGATCCTGCTGCCACTCCATTGCATTGCTCTTTCTATTGCTTGTATTGTTTTTGCAGCTGAAAAGAGTGTAAGCATCTGTTTTTATGATGAACAGCATACAGCTTTCATTATACTAAGCGAGATACAAGTCTGAAGCTAAACAGCACAGCCTTCCGTACTCACCACTACCGGCCAGGGGATCATGTACAGCTTCATCTGCAGTTGGAAAAGGTACATCCCGAAAAGGATGACGGTGACCAACCAGAAGAAGATCGCGACGAACATCACCCAGCCGTAGGACGGGTACGGCTGGTAGTACGTGTCGGCAATGAGCGCCCACACCAAGCAGCCCAGCACCTGCACGGCACACGAGAGAAAAACCGGGTCAGGACAGGGCGCTTACCACCAGGCGTTCGGGTTCTGCAGCCACACAGCCAGACAGGCAAACCGTCGCGTCGCCTTCTGCGCTGTGTCCTCGTTTCAAGTGGCAAACGTCCGGAAGGTTGCCTCTTCTCTCCAGAGCGGCACTCCACAAATCTTTCCCTTTGCTTGTCTAAAAATATTTGTCCTTCGAGGCCCACCACCCACCCTGGGGAAAGCCAAACGAGCGCCTGGCTGCATCTTTGCTCCCGCTGCGCAGGCGCCCAGCCAGCTGCCGGTGTTCTGCACCTGCGCTCAGCTCTCTCCCGGGCACTGCAAGAGCTGCCAGAGCCTGTAAGTCGCCTTGTGTCCATGGATACTGCTGCGCCATCTTGGCGCTCTGGGCATACGCCGCGTGGCCAGGAGAAACGCTCCCTGAAGGCTCCCACCCGCGCTCTGGGACCAGCCCGTCTGCTCGAGCAGCGTCACGCAAGAGCCATTACACAAAAGCTCCTGCGTGAACCCAGAACAGAACCCAAAGCGGAAGAGACGCCCAAGGCCAGAAGTGCAGGGCCGTCAGCAAACTTTTTAAGCAAGCCAAGCAAGTGTCCAGAAGGGGCAGCAGGAAACGCGCACAGGCAAGAAGTGCTTCTGCTTGATGAGCAACTGGAGGGGCGGAGGAGGCAAGCAGGGAGCTCGGGCTGCTTCTTGGGGTTGCCGGCATCACGTGAGGGCAGGGGGAGACCCCTCCTCAACCATGGAGCTCACAGCTTATCCCAGGCCAGTCTCCCTCGTAGGGTGGTTGTCAGGAAATAATTGCAGTGGGGAGAGAATATTTTGTGGTGGCAACTATTAGATCCAATTTATATCCCACTTTTCTCCCTCTTACAAGGAGTCCAAATGGATCACAAAGTTCCCCTCTGCTCCATTTGTATTCTCACAACAACCCTGCAAGGTAGGCTAGGCTGAGAATCAGGGACAGACCCAAAGTTACCCAGTGTGCTCCATGGCTGAGTGGGGCGAGAACGGAAGACGCAACCATGTGTCCTAAGTTATGACACACGCCACACTTCTCCCCTTCCTTGTGTGGTTTACAACCGCTTGTGTGCTTCCAATGCTCCTAAGGAATCAAATGCCATCTCCTTATTGTGCCCCTGAGATACTGGGACTTGTGCACCATTTTGTTGCAGAAAATGGCAACATCTATTCTTAAAAGAAAAAGCATGAAGATGAGCATTTTAAGGTGACCGTCGGGCCATAAACCTCATGGGGGGTCTTTGCCGAGTTACAGATTCTCCACCTAGCCTACCTCACAGGGGTATTGTGAGGGTAACATGGAGAGGAGACGCGCCATGAAATCACCCCAGGTGCCTCACCTGGAGTACCATGTCCGGTTCTGGGCACCAAGATTTAAGAGAGATGCAGAAAAATTGGAAAGGGTCCAGAGGAGGGCAACAAATAGGATCCAGGGTTTGGAAACGCCGCCTTGTGAGGGAAGACTGAGAGAATTGGGCATGTTCAGCCTTGAGAAGAGACGGCTGAGTGGGGACATGATACCCCTCCGTAAGTCCCTCAAAGGCTGCCACAAAGAGGGAGGTCAGGATCTCATCTCGCTGATGCCAGAGTGCAGGACACAGAATAATCATTTCAAGCTGCGACTACCCAGATTCAGGCTGGGCATCGGGAAAAGCTTCCTCTCTGTCAGAGCAACATGACAGTGGGACCGGCTGCCTGGAGAGGCGGGGGGCTCTCCCACCCTGGAGACACAGACAGAAACTGGGCAGCCCTCTGAGTGGGAGGGTGCGGCTTGGTGTCCTGCACCAGCAGGGGGTTGGTGCCGATGGCCTTCCTGGCCCCTTTCATTCATACAATCCTATGATTCAATGATCCTTACATGAGGAAAAACAGCAGGATAGATAGATGAAACATCACCATGTGTGGCACCGGAAGGGCCCAAAGGACCGCCCACTGCGCTAGAAAATGCTTTGAAAAATAGCAAGGAAGGGGGCTTTGGCAAGTGGGGCCAGGCTGTGGGGCCAACTGGGCTGGCATGGTGCAGCCCCAGGAGGTAGTGGGCAGCTGGGCGCAATCGACAGCCCTGAGGCCCACCGTTGTGTCCTCCCCCCACATCTTCCACAAAGCACTTGTGTCAGCCCCTCCCTGTGTAAGCGAAGCCTCCTGGATCGAGCCGAGGTCCCATCTGGGCCGGAACCTGTTCACACAGTGGCCAAGCAGAAGTACCTGCAGAGAGAACCGGCGGGCTACATCCTCCCTCCCTGCTCATGCTCCCAGCAACTGGTCTGCAGGGGCGTAGCTCCTCCCTCTGAGGGTGGAGGTGGCGGCATGAGGACTAGCAGCCTAGGTTAACCTTCTCCTCCATGAATTGGCCCCACCCCCTTTTAAAGCCATCCAAATGGCCTCTTGCTGGCGAGAAGGGCCTGGTGTCCCAGTCGGGCCGTGCCTGGCCCAGCTGACCCTCGACTCTCCAGCTACATGACCGAAAACCTGGGACGTGAGGGGCAAACACCCTTTAAAATGTCACCAGAAGATGCCTAGGAAAGCAGCTCTTGATTTACCACCGGCAACTTTACAAAAGTCTTCATTGCTTGAGACCATGAAAGAGGCGCTGTGTGGCCACACAGACATTGTTTGTCTCTGGCACAAACGCACCCGCTCCCTCCTCTTCCTTCAGGCCGGACAATGCCTTCTTTTTTGTCCTCCGTTTCCAACCTACACAATAGGTTTTTCTCTCTGTGTTGTTGTTGTTGTTTTTTTTTTGGTACAGGAGGCCAAAAGCGCGATCAAAATAAGGGCTCTTGGCTTGACCACAGCTGGGGGGGGGGGGTCTGCCGGGAGGCAATTGCAGATTCGGGGGCCATCTGGGGCAAAAATAGGGGGCTGATGCTGCTGCATCTGGGCCAGCACGGCTGCAGGAGACACATTCGTTGGCTCAGGTTTGGTATCATTTTGTCTTTGCCCCAGAGCAGGCCCAGCTTACCCAGGGAAATACTCCAAGGGCAGCTGCTGCGCATGAAAGGGGGTGGGGCACCTTCCAGGAACTAGAAAGAAAAATGATCCTATAACATTGGAGGCTGGAGGCATTCCTTTATAGTAAGTCCACTTCTAAACTGTGTAAACAAATCAGCAGTTACAATTTTTTGTTGTTGTTAGTCACGAAGTCGTGTCCGACCCATCGCGACCCCATGGACACCACTCCTCCAGGCCTTCCTGTCCTCCACCGTCCCCGGAGTCCACCCAAGCTCACACCCACTGCCCCAGTGCCTCCATCCAGCCACCTCAACCTCTGCCGCCCCCTTCTCCTTTTGCCATTTTGCCATCGATTGTTCCCAGTGTTAGGCTCGATGTCAACTAAAAGTGGGTGACTCTTTTGTTTCATGTAAAGTCGCATGAAAGGGTCCCTTTTCTCTCTGTTTTCTGCCCAGATTCCCTGGCTCTGTACCATCTTGACCAGGCATTACTGCTTGCGATAAGCTTGGGGGTAGGGAGTTGCAAGGGAGGCTTAGAATAGCAGAAAAGTAGAGCTGGAAGAAACCAAAGGTCCAACCGCCTGCTCAGTGCAGGACTCCCAGTTAAACCATCCCTCTCAGGTGGCTGTCCAGTTGCATCTTGAATGTCTCCCGTTTGGGAGAGTCTACTACCTCCCTAGCTAACTGGTTCCATTGGCATATTGCTGTCACCGACAGGAAATTTCCCCTGTTCTCTAGCCAGAACCTGGCTTCCTGTAACATGAGCCCATGACTCCATCTCCCACTCTGTGGGATGATCAAGAAGAGATCCTGGCCCTCCACTTCATTTGTGGAGCAGCATCATGTCCCACCTCAGTCGCGTCCGACCCATCGCGACCCCATGGACAACATTCCTCCACCATCCCCGGAGTCCACCCAAGCTCACACCCACTGCCCCAGTGACTCCATCCAGCCACCTCATCCTCTGCCGGCCCCTCTAGACAAGCTTATATTTAAGCCTCACTTTTGAATAACATGTAAGAATAAAGATCTAAATCAGGCTTAAGGTTTGTAGCTAGCTAAGAACAGCCATCAGGCCTAAGGGTTCTTTGCGCACACAGCTTGATGGACTCCAGCCACAGTTCCCCAAAACATCTGAAATGGGGCAATGGTGATTTAAACATCTATTTACTAACCAGGATTCCCCCCACCCAATTTTATTTATCTATTTTCACAAAATACATTAGAAAAAAAGAAATCTATGGGGAAAAAGATGCCATGCTCAGACACTGCCTGCATAGAAAGATAGTCAAACATGGAATCCCAATGAAGTGCTTTTGTTTAGACCCCAAGTGGCTAAGGGCCAAACCAGACATGAGTGAATTCACACACACTAGTGAATATCATATGCAAAGGGCACTGGGGAGCCGAACGCTGACCACTCTCCCGGCAGCCCGCGCTTTAAAATGCTTCCCGCAACAGGGCTCCAATAGCTGCAACTGGAGCTAGCGAAGAAAAACATTTCAAAGCAGGCGGGCATGAGGTGGTAAATCAGGTTTAGCTCCTTCCTGGAGTCGCTGAGAACACATCACCAAGGAAAGCCAATGCATCACCAAAAGGGGGGTCAGAAGCGGGCAGCGCTCTGCAAAAGGCATTCTTACGCACGTTTATTTTGTTTAACCCAGGAACTGTGGGGACCCGCAGAGCCTGGGAGCTGTTTCTGATTTCAGTTCGCACCTCAGGAAGCATGCTGTGCTTCTCTGCAACTCCTGGGTCAAGCACCAAACTGCCACCAAAAGGGTGAACACGGCCGACCTGCTCCTTTCCCCACCTGCTCTGTTTGTTAGCCAACTCCCTCCGCGGCTTACGAGTTGGTCTGGCAAGCCCGTGTTTAATAAACACCCTCCCAGCCTGGCTTGAGGCCTTGATCAGTCTCTCTCTGCAGGCTGTCCTGGTGACCTGCAGCCACGGGAAAACACCGCAAGTGGGGAATGATTCGCATCGATATTCAGTGATGCTCTCAAACTGCTC